CCATTCACATTTGAGTATTAAAGGGCTCTTCTTGCTTCAAACAACATCCAATAAAAGAACAAACTTTTTAAAAAATGTATCAACAATTATATTTCAAACAAAATATTTATATCTGCATATGAGCAATACATTATATCAAATAGATGACTACCAAGTGTATTGTATATAGGATTATTAGGCCTTCCTCATTCAGAAATGTACCTACTCTATACAAATGGTGCTTTCAAATAATTCTGTGAAATGTATCACAGAATAACATTGAGACCAATACTTTTACATTCAGAAAATCTGGCAATTGATTTTTAAATGCCAGAGGTATTCCAATACAACTACTCTCAATTGTCCCATAATGCAGATTAAACCATGCTCCAGTACAAATCCTCCCACCCAAAAATTTCACATCTAGGTTAACTATTTTACCAAGCCTACACAGAGTTCAAATGATATTGCTCAAAAAAAATGTGAAGGCAATAGAGCTTTTATTTCGAAATGTATTCCAAGACCTTAACAATAAACTGTCTTTCTTACCTCACCCACACATTCTTTTACAACCTTGCATTAGACCTCTTCAGTGCCCTTAGCAATATAATCCAATAGCCATAGCCTCAATTCGTCACTCCTGATTCGTCACTCCCCCACAATTCTATGCAAGACTCAGCACACACACAATTCACCTTTTTGAAACACACTTTACCAAACACCAGTAGTAAAACAGCATTCTTGATGTAATCAGGAGTTAATACACCATGCTTCTGAGGCAAAACTACATCATTCACACATCAGTTAATCCTGCTTCTTTCCTCTAATAATCAGTGCATTACGCCCATTCCTTTATCCTTTATTTATTCATGAAATAACTGCTTGACTATTCAAACAGATGGAAGATGAGCCACTTAAAAAAAGGATTTGAGACAACCCCAGTACCTATGATGTGATAAGAACATGTTTATATACAAAATATTTTAACACTTATCACATTTCGGCCACAAAATACTGTCAAATCCACTTTACAGTAATTCCTGTGAAGAGCTTTGAGACGTCATTCCAACATAATGAGGCGCTGTACCAAATGCAAGGATTATTATCTAACTAGACCCTGTAGTTATTTCATGTATTTCTATTGACAGAATACAGTGAACAGTTACCAAAATAACTGGTTGAGTCAAGTCTATTAAAATTCATTACACTTATAACAAGGTATAAGTATAAAGAATACCTAAGACTACCCAAAGTCCCAGGGCTTTTGAAATATTGACAGTGACAAAAGACATAGCAAACTCATCAAAATAACATTATTTTTGAAAATAATTCTACAAGAATTTTTTTATTTCAAATGCAGGGCAAGATTTCTGGCTTCCCAAATGAATTTTGACAATTATGGCGATTCCTGGAGCTAGATATTCACAAGACGTTTCTTCACTTAGCCTCAGTTATCAATACCCGTACTACTGTACCAAAGACATAAATTGCAGGGATACTAGAAATGCAGGCTAATAAGTAAAGAAACAATATGTTTCAGCTTCCCAACTTCTAACATGCAGCAACGATGAGTGCCTCCATCATTATGTATGTGTCAATAGTTTGTTTTTAGAAAATACAATGTGCAACACAAACATAACTTATTCCCAAGCATTTACCACTCATTGCCACTCTGATCCCAAACATTTGGTAGTGGTGGAGAATGAGGTGACAATCTTCATGTCAGAAAATTCAGCCTCTGCTCACACCTCTCCACCATACCATGGCTAACACCTAACCCTAGAGAACAATCAACCCACTGCTCTCGTTTTCTTATAAGGGGAGTAATTACAGACAGTCAAGATGGCCAAAAAAACAGTAAGGTGAAAAAGAGGGCATTACTGAAGATAAGCTGAGAGAATGGAATCAGTGCGAGTAAAAGTGGAGAAAAAACAAAAACTGTCAAGTTACCTACACTGACAGCAAGAAATTAATGCTCAATGAAAACAAATTAAAATGTCAACAAACTGGAGCTGAGTAGACCTGTGGGACTTTATACATACGCATACTGTTGCCAGTGAACAGCAGTTACGTAAATGCCCAAAGCAAACAGCTCACCATGGGAACTGTGCGGCTCCACATGTGGTATGTGAGGTACTAACAAACAGCTGAAGTAGCACACTGTGGGGAGAATCATATCACAAGTTAAAACATATAATAGGACTGCAGCCTGACAGAATCAATAGTCAGGTATAAACAATATGTTTTTCTGTACTTAATATACCTGTAGAGACCCAGTCAGCGTACAGCTGATCACTTCAATGATATGGTTTACTTAAACTTCCAAAGTTAAATTCAAACAAACCTAGCAATAAAAAACAAACACTGGAAATATAAAGGAGGTCAGCCCACATCGGAAAGAGAAGATGGGTATAAAAAACATTGTTACTCCTTCTGTTTCAAAAGTTTATTCACCTGCTATGCAGAAGTGTATTTTTTATTAAGCTATCCTGAAAATGAGCTGCTGCTGATTCACTTAAACGTTTACAATGCAGTTTGTTTTGTTGCAGGTTATCAAAAATACTAAACTACAACTGAAAAGCTGGAAGCCAAATTATATATCCATATGCAGAACGCACTATCTAGCCCAATCCCGGTATACTATTAACGACATATTGAAATTGCCACATTTCTAATATATGAATATCAAATTAAATCTGGTGTAAAATTTGAAAACCAAAGAAAAAAGAGTTGAGTTGACTGATTGGTATTTTGGAGGAAAACAAAACACTGCTGGTGTTTTGAAACAAAGAAAGGGTTGGCAAACACACTGAACTTGTAAGTACTGTATTGCAATACAGCCAGTGAACTGCCATAAAGGGAAAAGAATACGCTCAGGGAACCCAAGGAGTATTTGAACTAAAGAATTGGCACAAGTAAAAAAAACAGTGAAAATGACCAGCACAGCACCTATTACCAACAAAGAAAAAAAACTAAAATTAAATCGTCAATCTGAATCACCTTCTAACCTTCCAGTAGCCACATTGTTCTCCTGCAGCTAAGAAAGTCCAGGACACACTGTTCCAAAAGGCACTGGATTTTTTTTCTCTCTCTCTCTGATCTCTTTCTGGCTTCAGATCGGAGCACACTCCAAAAGCACTCCATGTAATCCGCCTAACAGTGTACCTGAACAATCTGTCCTCAGATTAGTTTTAACAATTTGAAAGCCAGATAAACTGTAGGTATTTCTCCTTTTTAAAGGAAAGTATTCCAGTCGAAACACTGAATTATCATACAATCGAAGTGGCGCGGCACAAAGAAGGACCAATTTTTTATAAACGTACAGGTTGGCAGGCTGTGGATTTGCACACAGGCAAAGCCAGCATTCATTTTAAAATTGCTCCAGTCAAAAGACTCTTCTCGGAGTTTGGATAAAACTGTGCAATCTGAAATCATGTTTATACTCTGCAAATCTACCAGATCGCATCACACCTGAAACACTTCTGGGTCCCGAGAAACCGTTTATTCTGCATATACGGTGTGAATTCCTGTTAAAATCGCAACGATTCGCTACCAAACGTACGATAGGACTCAAGAGAGCAGGTCTGCAAAGCCACAGAGCTCTTGACAGCTGAACAGCAGAACCGACTGAGCACGTCAAGAATGTTTGAACACTGAACGGCGTATGGCCTGGATGTCAGCACTGCAGTACATTTATGCTGCCCACCCTCGTACAAATGTGGCCAGAGAACCAAAGAAATCTATGGGCTAAGTATATGCCGGAGAATCAAAGAAACTACAATAATGGGAGATTATATATACATACATATATATGTGTGTGTGTGTGTACAATAGCACAAGATAATCGGCATTAGTTACATCAATTTGACTGTACGATGCAAATTATTGCAAAAAAAACACAAAACCTATCAGAGCAGTTGATCAATATGAGCAAACTCCCTTGTAGCAGTTACAGCCTGCAGCTTATTGCCAGCTGGCTATTCATTAGCGTTCAGCTCACGAATCGAACAATTTTAAAAGATTATGTTCGGCTTCCTGCTTATCCAGCAGTTGCACAGAACGGGAATGAGATGAGTGATACTAATAAGAAGGAATACGGTAACAAGTGCTGCAACAAGTCTCACCCCTTGTTATTCAGCGTTCCCACTTTTTTTTCTTTTTTTTTTAAAAAAAAAGGTACGTGTTGTCCTGTCCTTCTGCCAAACATCGGGGTAGCTTTACAGGTACCTCTCAAGACTGGTGGGGAGTTGCATTGAAACTGAGCCATTTAAAGCTCCAGTTAACCTGCGTCTGGTCGTTTCTAACACTGCACACACACACACACACGAAAGAAAAGCAGTGGCCGCTTAAACCAGGAAGTGAAAGATACCATTTTCGCAGCCGGGCAGACAAGACCATCGACAGCGAAGCAAACCCCCACCGAATCACCATGTCAACAGACAAGAGAATAACGTCCCAGTGGGTGAAACCAAAGGCTGAGATCAGACACCACCATCATCATCACCACTCTTCCTCTTCCTCCTCCCTCAACGTCTAATCGGCATCAAACTGCCCACATTGAGAGAGGGGGAAAAAAAGGCGAGGGAGGGAGGAGAGGAAGAAAGAAAAAGCTTCCACCCACGATACACAAGAGTATTTAAAGGGCTGTAAAGTGTGAGTTGCAAGTTGAGCCGGTGTTTGGCTTGGCTCATCCTCTTCCTCTTCCTCGTCCTCCTCCATCACCATCATCCTCCTCCTCCTCACGTTCATGTTGTTGTTGTTGTTGTTGGATTAACGTGTCTGTGGGAATCGCGTGGAAAAGCTTCTCCCAAAGTGGGGACAGAGACAGAGAGAGAGAGACAGAGAGAGAGAGAGAGGAGAGGGAGAGAAAGAGAGAGAGAGGGGGGAAGGAGGGGAGTGAAGAGGAGAGCAGCCGAGGCTGGACGCGCCCCCCCCCCCTCCTCCTCCTCCTATTCCTTTCCCGAGGGTGTGTCAGCCGGGGCCGGACGAGGACGCGGCCGCTCAGGGGCTCGGCTGCTCACCTCGCTCACACTCCGCACCTCCATTTTCTGCCCAGGGTCACGGAGCTGCACAAATGGCATCTCAGGCTCCGGCTCCTCGGCTGCCCCTCATGGTGTGATGGCGGCGGCGGCGGCGTTTTGCTTTCGGTCCGACGTAGCGCGGGGAACTGCTGCTCGTGAGACCTGCCTCCGCCTCCTCCCTCACTCCCCCTTCACTCACTCCCTCCCTCCCTCGCTCACAGGCCGCGCCGGCCCCGCGCTCCGCCCGCCCCCGCGCAACATGGCGGCCGCCACCCGCAGCCAGGCTGGGCCGGCGGCTGACGTCACCACACGCCCCGCCCACCCACTGACATCAGAGGGTGAGGGATACCAGCCTCAGAGAGTGAGGGATACCAGCCTCAGAGGGTGAGGGGTACCAGCCTCAGAGGGTGAGGGGTATTCCAGCCTCAGAGGGTGAGGGATATACCAGCCTCAGAGAGTGAGGGATACCAGCCTCAGAGGTTGAGAGGTACCAGCCTCAGAGGTACCAGCCTCAGAGGGTGAGGGGTACCAGCTTCAGAGGGTGAAGGATACCAGCCTCAGAGGGTGAGGGATACCAGCCTCAGAGGGTGAGGGGTATACAGCCTCAGAGGGTGAGGGGTATTCCAGCCTCAGAGGGTGAGGGATATACCAGCCTCAGAGAGTGAGGGATATACCAGCCTCAGAGGGTGAGGGGTATTCCAGCCTCAGAGAGTGAGGGATACCAGCCTCAGAGGGTGAGGGGTATACAGCCTCAGAGGGTGAGGGGTACCAGCCTCAGAGGGTGAGGGATACCAGCCTCAGAGGGTGAGGGATACCAGCCTCAGAGAGTGAGGGATACCAGCCTCAGAGGGTGAGGGATATACCAGCCTCAGAGGGTGAGGGGTATACAGCCTCAGAGGGTGAGGGATACCAGCCTCAGAGGGTGAGGGGTACCAGCCTCAGAGGGTGAGGGATACCAGCCTCAGAGGGTGAGGGATACCAGCCTCAGAGGGTGAGGGATACCAGCCTCAGAGGGTGAGGGATACCAGCCTCAGAGGGTGAGGGATACCAGCCTCAGAGGGTGAGGGGTATACCAGCCTCAGAGGGTGAGGATATACCAGCCTCAGAGGGTGAGGGGTATACCAGCCTCAGAGGGTGAGGGTATACCAGCCTCAGAGAGTGAGGGATACGGACAGCATCAGAGAAGGAGAGGTACAGACAGAATCAAAGAGTGAGAGATACAGACAGCATCCGAAAGAGAGAAAACATGAGAGAGTTCGATACAACATCAGAGAATATGAGATATGGCATCAGATGGAGGTCCATCATGAGAGAGTCTTAAGGTGTTGATATTGGGGCATGTGTCTACCCACTCTCCATTCTCAAAAAATATATTGACGACGATTGTTGCTATTTTGAGCAAAATGTTTAAAATAAATTATATTATGAATGCAGCAAACAATATTTAGACCAATATGCTTTGTTTTATTCTTTAATTTACAACTTTTTTGTTTGTCCCAAACTATTGAATAATTACTTTTCTGTAAATATTGATTTTCACATACTTACAACATAGTTGTTCCCTAAACAACTAAAAAAACATTATTGAATTACAAACTGTGTTTGCTCGATCTGAATATGCTTTTATTATTGTCAATCTCAGGGTTGTTTTCTTAGAAATTAACCACATTGAGTTCCTGTTTTTTTCCTAAGGGAACAACATCTAACCCTGCATACTATTAATTGCTTCCCCATGCCTTGGAATTAGAATCTCTTTCTAAATTGAACATTGTTGAATAATATATACATGTGCAGCTTCTCTGTGAGAGAACATATGACAATTGACCAAAACAGATGCTATATTTTTAAAGGGATTGTGACCCAAACTTTCTTCTGCATTTTTGTTATGTAGAAAAGACAAAAAAAAAGTTTTATTTTAAAAAAAGCTACAATAAACAGTAAAAAAAAATGCACAATGTTAATTTTAGCTCTTCAAATAAGTCTTGTCTTTTACTTACACAATGCAGTAATATTTACAATCTGGGTTTAAAAATATATATGTATGTAAAAAATATCTTGAATGTAGTGCTGAATAGCTTTTTCTAATTACAGTCCAGAAAGACAAAGAGATGCCGTAGAATCAGTCTAAAAATGAAAAACAAATTGTGTCCAAATCTAAAGGAATGAAGAATGTCGGAAAAGCATTTGTTTAAATTGAACTACATACAAAATATAGAACAAATTCCACCCAATGGGGTGTGTATCACTGGACAATCCAATGTTAATTAAGACTGTCTCATTTTTCTGACTGAACAATACTTAACAGTACTTTGCTTTTAATAAAATACTATAGATCTGCACCTTAACATAAAATTAATAACCATAAATAGGGAGTTGAATAGTCTGACCATCTTTTGCTAGTGATCTTTCCACACTTCCATCAACATTACCAACAAACACAATCAATGGACTTGACAGCAATTAGTTATGAAACACTTTGTTATTATGTGTTCTATCAAACGGATGATTAATATAATTAAAAACTTTCTTAAATTGATAAGGATCAATTTAATCTTCCAAATTACAAGATATAATTTGTCCAAGCTATGTGGAAAATAAGCAAAGGATCTTTGCATGACTAGTTAAATGTAATTAGCTAAATAGTAATCTAATGTAAATATAGCAGTTTATATAAACATCCGTCTCCATTGAAAGAGAATGAGGGAGAATGCTCGATACGGCAGTAATTTAGGACATTTTGATGATATACTGTATTTCTCACTTCACCATTCTTTGTAAAGTGCTTCAAGACATTACCCCGTGTAGAAAGGTACCATTTAAGTGGAAGTTGTTCACGATTTTTTGAGACTTATTCATAATTACACAGTCAAAATGATCTTACCTTATAGCCACACAGAGTAACATCCAAATGTTCTTTATACTTGCAGAGCATAAGGTTACAGAAGTGAATGAAGCACAATAAATGCAATTGTACAAGAATATATATTCTATTATGAACAATCAGCAAACGGAATGTGATGTCTTGATCCGTTTCCAAAATATTTTTTCAACAACAAAAATTCAGATTCTGCTCACATTAAAATTAAAGCCTTCAAAAGCATTTAAATCAATTGAATGGTCTCAGAAAAAGCAGGTGAATGTTGATGTGAGTGGGTGTAAAGTATATATAAAACAATATCCCAGTATGTATGAAACCTTATGTGCAAACTAAGTACTCATTAGAAATGGTTTAACTATATATTTTTAAAAAATAGCCATTCATTGAATGTGTCATGTCTTCAACATTATTAGTAAAGTATATATCTTGATGATATTTAATATAAGTGGAAAAAAGTTATTGATAAGCCCAGAGATCATTAGTCTTGAGGTATGTTTTGGTCTATGAGACGTCTAGAAGACATGAAAAGCGCTATATCAAATGCAAGAATATTATTATTATTATGAACTGAATTGGAGAATGTAGGCACATAATCAATTCCCCTCAGAAGCAGCTATGGAACGTGTCCATTTACCCGTTCAAAAGAAACTAAACAGCTTGTATCTCCAGTTAAGAATGGGATTGAATATTTTGGGATAAAAACAGATAAATGAATAGTACAGGAAATACAATTGTTATGTGCTGCTTGGATCGAAGAATGTCATCTTTCTAAATTCAATAACAAAGTTGTGGGGATAATGAGGATTTCTGCAGTTTCATTTGATTGGATTTGCAGGTTAGAAAGTATTTCTGGTGAATTTTTCTTGAGTTCGTTGAGTTATGTTTTACATAAGGTCGTTTACAATAGACTAGATTTTACATGGAGAAAAAGTGTTATAACAATAATAATAATCCTTGCATTTGATACAGAGCTTTTCATGTCTTCTCGACGTCTCAAAGCGCTTCACAGAATAGACTGTAAAGTGAATTGACCATATATTTGTGGGCGAAACGCGGCAGCCAATTGCGCACAGCAATGTCCCACAAACAGTCGTGGATTGAAAATGACCAATTTATTATTGTTTTGTTTTGGAGGGATTATTATTAGACGTGTGGAGTAAGGAAACTTGCCCAAGGTTTCGCCCTGCCTGGAATTGAACCCAGGTGTCTGGCTTGCAAGGCGAGTACTCTAACCATTGAGCTACAGGACTCCCAAGTGTTCTCATTTTATGCTTATATTTTAATAACTTAAATAACGTATAAAAACCGGCACGGACTGGTTAGGACAAAAGGGCCTGTTTCCATGCTGTACATTCTATGTAAACCTAAGCAAAATAGAACTTTATATACACTTCCTCCACCCCTTTTACCAGAATCATAGAATCATACAGCACAAAAAAAGGCCATTCGGCCCATCGAGTTTGTGCCAGCTCTTTGAATAAAGCAATTAATGTCAGTCCCACTCCCCAGCCCTTTCCCCATGACCCTGCAAACCCGTCCTCCTCAAATACCCGTCCAAAGGAAACTTTTGTTTGCAATGTTCGTACAATCTTCTGGTACAATTAAGCAGGTTAATTTAGTGAGTCTTCTATGATATCTTACAATGTATATAATGTTTAAACTTTATTTTTCTAGGTACATCTCTTTATTAAAATATATCAGACATTGAGGATTTAAATCGAGTTGCAATGGAATCCAGGGCTAAGGATCTGATCCTGCTCTAAAATCCAATTGGATATATTAATGCTTTCAACTTCAGTATGTGATCAAGGTCCAGGCATACTGTGCAAATGTTCTTTTATTAAGTGGGACTCAATATTCTGTACTTATAAGAATAATCCTTGCATTCCTATATGTAAACTAAGTGGAATGCACTGATCTTAAGAGTATACAGTTTAAAAATATATCCATGTAAATTGCCAGAGGGATTCAGTCTCATTGAATTTAGTAAAACCACACTATATTCCAATTTCTCTCGATGAATTGTACTAATTAAGTATGGAGAGATATAGTATTTGCTCAGAAATTGTTAGAGTTAGATTTTAGACGTCCTCCCAACGTGAAAGACGCTATACAAATGTAATCCTGTTGTTGTTTAGAGTACAAATTTACTCGTGTATAAATGGATCAAAGGTGAAATATTGTATACCCATGCAAACAACACTTCTCATTCACCCTCAAATTATATATTTTTAAAAAGTTAGTTTTTCGTACAGATTCACAACCCGAGGGGGTGGTTGTGGTCTGTCTGCCTTTTTTTTCTTCCAAAAAAGCATTTCACTTCCAACTAGCACCTTCTCCCAATAGTCCAGCTTGAAAGCAGGATCTCTCCCCTGTTTACTGTGTTTGAATCAACTTCGTGCAGTAAGTACGGTGTGAACAATATGTTCATTGGCTTTCACCTCTTCCAAGGAATAGAAGAAAATACCAAAATCTAGCAAAAAATTTATTCAGCATGTTATCTTTTCATCAGAAAGCTGAAGCATAATTAATCTTTTTTTCAACATGTAAAAGATTTAACATTAATACAAATCATTTTAAAAGAAGTCTGGGTATCACTTCCATAAAAAGCTGCTTCACACCTAATGTCACCCTCTGATACAGAGGAAACCCAATTAGCATCGTTCTCTGTTGCTCAGTGAATCCAAGTTGCTATCTGTTTCTGGAGGTACATTTGTCAGCAGCATCTAGGGAACAAAAGTCAACATTTTATCATAAGTGGCTTCAGCAGCTACAAAAAAAACTGAAAAACATCTCAAAATAGAAACAAGTGCAATTCTATAGTAGTAATCTGAGTAGCTCAGGGAATTCACTATTTTAAATATTGAGGTTCCTCAGCTTCTTTCAAAATATGTTACAACACTCACAAACAGATTGCAAAATATGACTGACAATATAGAAATCTATTTCATCTTCATGAAACGCTAAAACGCTTTAAAACGCTAAAAGCAGTACAAATTGCAGTTATTATACAATAATAATCCTTGCATTTGATATAGCTCCTTATCACGTCCTCAAGAGTTCTCAAAGCGCTTCACAGAATACACTGTAAAGTGTAGTGACTGTATACTTTGTGGGCGAAAGGCGGCAGCCAATTGCGCACAGCAGTGTCCAACAAACAGTCGTGGATTGAGTGACATTATTATTATTATTATTTGAAGGTGTTATTCCCCCCGAAAAAGCAATCCGCCACTTATTAGTGCTTTTCACTTCAGAAGGATTCCTAAAGGCACTGGATAATCGAGGGTTTGTGCCCAAGCTGGGGGTTGGATTCTGGAAGAATCTGTTTCTGTGCTGAAGAGTCTGTAAATCTTTGCATCACTGAACTCACCTGTTGCTGTTCTGTGTCATTCAATTTGATTGCAAGAACCAATTTTGCAGTGAAATTCTGCAGATGTAAATATTTCTCTCTTTGCTTCTCCAGTTCATTCTCAAGGTATCTAACTTCATCATTCTTAAAAATTTAAAACAAAAAAAAACAATATTAAGAATACATTAATAATTGTGCTGCTTACATCCAACACTGCCTAACATTATCATACATTTTCTGAGGAAGGGAGAGAGAAAAAAATCATTATTCAGCCACAGTGTTGCTGTGTAAGTTTCAACATCAATGTTACTCATTAATACTACAATATGAAAAGTGTGTTTCCACTTTTAACCTCAAATCTCAGACATTAAATAGTTTGGGAAGGTATAGCATAGCCTAGAAGCCCAGAAGAAAAACTCCATTCGCTCAGCCACAATATGTCATAACTCCATCCTAAGAATACTTCCTGTTGTACCATTGGAAATCTTTTAATTTCTCCCACTGGTTGAATGAGAATGCCAATTTAATGCCATATCGCCAAATTATGGAGATTTTCATTGCATTCTAAAAATGCAGTTCTGATATAAGCTGTCAATCATAATAGTAAATAATCCTTGCATTTGATATAGCACTTTTCACATTAGACGTCTCAAAGCGCTTCACAGAATATACTGTAAAGTGAATTGACTGTATATTTGTGGGTGAAATCATGAAACATAAATAGAATTTATGTGAACTTGGTACCAGACCCATGGTATTCTTTTGATGGCGAGATTGGGTTGCAATTTGTCTTGTATTTCTGGGATTTGGGTTCCATTAGTTTAATAATATTTAAAAAAATACAGACCAAGAAACAACCGTTCAATTGGAAGCTCTCGATTTTATTTAACCACATTAACTTGCTTATTTGCACTGCTTCCATTATTACAAATAGTATAAGCATCATATTGTAAATTGGTATAGGATAATTATCAGTTTGGTAACATTACCCTAATTGTCCAAATGTTTCAAACGTTACCTTGTAATTTAGAATTTTCTGGAGCTGCTCGACCTCCAATGTAGCATGATCACAACTGTTCATCTCAACTGTATCGTCATCAAGTATCTCTAATTTCTGCAGTAAACAACAGACCAAAGTTTAATTTCAGCAACATAATAATTCAATGTTTGAAAACATCTTTATTAATAACCATGTCATTTTGCAAGATCCAACTTTGCTTTTATATACTTTTAACTGAACAGAAATGTTGCTTCATTAAAGAGTTATGTAAAATCCCTCATCTACTCCAGGCAGGGCGAAACCTTGGGCAAGTTTCCTTACTCCACACAGAGCCTAATAATAATCCCTCCAAAACAAAAACAATAATAAATTGGTCATTTTCAATCTACGACTGTTTGTGGGACATTGCTGTGCGCAATTGGCTGCAGCGTTCGCCCACAAACAGTCAATTCACTTTACAGTGTGTTCTGTGAAGCGCTTTGGGACGTCCTCCTGACGTGAAAAGGGCTATATCAAATGCAAGGATTACTATTATTATGTTACTTGTACAGCAGAAAAAATGTTACTCTGTTTGATGGATTTAGAAGATCATGTGTGGAATTTCCCAGTTAATTACATAACATTTTCTTCCTTTACATTTGGCAGAATAACAGGATGCAGCCAGAGACAACTACAATAAAATCTTGACAACTTGAACCTAGGGATTCCAGGGAGAAACTGTAAAGTGATACCTGCAGATATTATAGCCTAATACTTGATCCAGTATCCTCATTCAAGAAATGATTAACTTTAAATTTGATTTCTGCAAACAAAAGGACAGAGTTCCAAGTGACCACATTTTTGGGGAAACAGTTCCACAGGCAGGAGAAATACCGGGCTCGTATTCAGTGTGGACACTTCGAACTTTAAAACATGCTGAGGGGCGGGGGAAGATAGGAGAAAAGTTCCGGCTTGGAGAAAGCCATCTTCACGTACACTGACCTGCATTGTTTTGGCCTGTACTGAATCAAGAACAAGACATGAATTGTCTCCACAATCTGTCAAATAGATATATCCCACCACTGAGCAAATGCAGTCTTTGCAGAACACTAATGTTGCCACAGCTGTGACCAAGAGGTCAGACCTTTCTTGAAAACTGACTTTATTCTACTGGGACTTCTAGCTATCCTTGACATTTGTTTGCCCAGAAACGATCAAGCCAAGGAGCTGAATGTTTTCAGCTCGAGGGCTTGCAACATTATTATACATTGTTCAAAGGTTGTTGTCTTTAGAAACACGAGTCAACTTTGAAACAGTTTTACGAGCTTACTCATCCGACTTAAGGTTTACTAAGGTCAAGCAGCATTTAGCTGGGTCAGATGAAGCAATTGCTGATTTCCAATTTGCTTTACAATGTGGAAATTGAAAGATTTNAAAAAAAGATTACCACTTTATCCAATGTTGGGATGCTACATGTCCCATCACTAATGCTTTCTCCATCACCATTCTCTTCTTCTGCTGCTGTCACTTTATCTTCCTCTTCCTCCCTTTGTTGCATTTCACCTGAAATACCTATTGTGGAGACAATTACATGGAGGTTGTAAAATTAGAATTTCTAGCATAATTCTTGCAAGGAGCCACAGAAAAAAAAACCAGTGCTAATGACAATCTATTTTGTAAACAATCAGTAAATGTTGTGCCCAAGTTCTGCATTGAAAGAATACATTAACAGAATCTCAGCAAAGAGCTCTGCTGGACTCAAATGCTTCATCTATTATTGGCCGTGATATACAAGCAAAATAACACTCAACCTCAAAACAGATCGTTGAGTTTTGAACTTCACCTTATCTTCCACTATTCATTTACTAAATTTAAATTAATCTCAGCAAGGCTACAAAGTACATTTCATAACATGGGGGGGGGGGGGGATTGAAGAAGCCTTTCGACTGACAATAAAAAATTATCTTTCATTGTCGGTTTATATGTATGTATTGATCTGATTAGAAAGGTGAATAGAAAACAAATTGGACAAAGAAAAAGTTTCTGAACATGAATAATTAGTAGGAAAAAATTAGAACAAGACTTTAAACTAGAAAAAATATATACCTACGTGGTGAATTGAGTATACCCCATTAATGAAAATAGTCTCGACTGGAAACCTTGCATACAATATTTGCTTAGACCTATCTGTAATGTGCTGAACCCCATTTGGATTCTTAAACATTGCCAAAAATGAAAGCAACTAACCAAATTTACAACAAATTATGCATGATAGGCACAATCCATAGATCCACAGCCATATAAAAGTTGTCCAAATTGTTAATTATTTATAGGTAGATATATTTGGAATCTTGAAAAAAATCAAAACAACAAAACCTTTTTTTTAGTAATTATACATAAGTAATTTATCTGATAGATAGGTACATGTTCTTACCCTACACTACATAGGCATGTTTCTCTGCCAGCAGCATTTGCTAAAACATTTGACAGAATGTTTTAATTAAAATATTAGCAGATTGAATTAATGCATTTTAACCTTTATTATTCAAGGAATAGGCTTATAAACAAAATATAAATATATTGTGGCAATCAGAATTCATTTTAATAATCACAAAATACACACTTAAAAAGAAGCTGTTACATAAGTCCAAAGGAACATTTTTGCATTTCAAAATCCACATTCTTTCAAGCCAGTCATAATTATTGTACCTTCAGATAAACAGACATCTTCTTCGTTCTTGTCATTTTCCTCTGAGGCTCCTGGACTCTTTGATGATTCGTCGCTGGTCATGGACAAGAAGGAAGTACATGATTCAGGTGGATTGGAAAAGTCAGCTGGTCCACTACGGGTAGGAGGTAGGTCAATTCCCATCTGACGATATTTCCTTCTTCGATTCCCTATCCATGTCTTTACAGAAGAATATCAAGTGGTCAGTATATTCATACATAATGATAGAATTCAGTGCAAGGAAAGTAATATTGCTGGGAGTTTCCGTTACTTCTAAGCCTTGTTTTTCAAGGTTATTTTTAACTTTCTAAAACACGTTTTGAAAAACAGTAACTATCTGGGATCAAAGACAAGCAGAAAACATTTCTCTACTGCTGGCATGCTGGAAACAAGGGTCAAGAGCTCTGCGATCCTACCCCACAAGAAGGGCGCTATATAAATGCAAGTTGTTGTTGTTGTCGTAGCATTCTGTTCACCAAGTATGACTATTCCCATTAGATCAGCACTTTGGATCTCAGAGTTGAGGATATAGCCACACCCCAAAGACTTATTCATAAGCCAAATAAACTGTAACCATGAATAATGCTTTTGATTATTGTGGACATTTCCAGGAACATCTCTTCAGAGAAGATTCATTCCTAGGGACATTCAGCTCACCAACCTCCCAAGTCAAATGTTATAATTAATCCACATGAATAATTGGGCAGAAATAGGGAGATTCAGATTAGAGCGAGATGAACACGATCTTCACATATGTTTTTTTTTCTAAATATAGCAAAATACACTGTAACTTCTAGTATTAACTAAACTGGCAACCATAGCATTAAAAGCATAATTTGTACACACTTGTAACTCAACACTACATTTTACAATATTCACTAAAATAATGTCACTGTCAAGAGAGCCAGTTAATGTATGTGCAACAATTTGAAAATCTTTAATTCAGTAGTGCATTTATTAATCATAATGACAGATTGGGGTGACATATTTTATTATGACTGATTTGGGAGAAAAACTTTGGACGTTATTCCTGATACATCACAAATTAGCATGGATAGATTTAGTCAAATACATACAAACTGACCAGAAATTTATGGGTTATCAATGAACTACACTACAACATTGGAACATCACTTCAACACTAACCCCGAAGACTGATACATCAGTAGGTGAACAGATTTAAGGCATCCAATCTCAGCCACAGGCACCATGAACAGGCTGAAAATGGCCTTAACATTTGTAACTGTAGTAAGGGGCTTGAAAAAGTGAAGTTGAACAAAGAAACATTTAAACTGGACAAAGGTTCTATTTCTCCCAAATGTGTGATTTATGATTCATACATATTTACTGTTTGGATTTAGTGCAACAATAAACCAATTCTGAAACTATTAAAATGGCACCGTGAACAATTTCAAAACTGTACCAATCTACATGCAGTGAGTTTGCACAACATTTCCAAACCACACATACACACAATAAATTATTAAACTTATCTTCAGATGCAGTATCTGAGAGATTTGTATGTAAACACAAATGGTGAACTGTAGAGATGAAATTGCTTCAACAGTAAATTAACACATCTGTCTTGATGTTTATTGCACAGCTTTGTTGGTTNAAAAAAGTCTTCATAGTGAACTCTCAAGAGTATTATGGATAAAAATNAAAAATGTGAAAGCTGGAAAATCTGAAACAAAAACGGAAAATACTAGAAATATCTTGATGATGCTAAGCTATTTTTGGTACAGTTCAATGCCCTGCCCTCAATGTATAGAGCAGCAGCTGACACTGCACTTCACCATGCAGCACTTTAGATCTATTTTAAGAACCCTCAAGTGGGTGAAGATTCATTGTGGTTTCAACATCATGTACGTTTTCATTATGGAAAAAAAGAATTACTCTTACCTTGACAATTTCACAGTCAACATTCAGTTCCATGGAGACAGCTTCTATTTTATCTCTGCATATTGAGCCCAGACTGGTCATTCCGTTGCCCCAATATTTTTTCAGAACAGCCAGATCATTCTCGCTAAATTGGGTACGATCTTGTAGCTTGAAATAGGAAAAAAAACACAAATTTTATATAAAGAATGAAACGTATAACAATGCTTTAAGAATATTTTATTAAAATAGTGCAAAATTAATCAATCTATGCAATTAATTTCAATATTACAGAATATGATACACCCGTGTAATGGTTGATTCTGATTAAATATTGTAAAATCAGGCAACATTCTGTATTCAAGAAAATGTTATTAAAAGCACAATATGCTACTTGACAAATTGCATTATTGTAACTATGCAACAAGCATCAGACAAATTGGCAACACAGTCAGTGAACCAGAGTAGTTAAATTAGTAATGCAAATGACTAAACTACGGCATAATTACAAGCCTTCAACATTCACTATCAAAAAGACAGGGTGCTGGGGGGAGTTGGAAATATACAAAATGTTTAAAAAATAATAATCTTTACATTGATATATCCAGGAGGATGTCTCAAAGAGCCTCATATGATTTACTGTAAAGTGTAGTGACTGTGGATTTTGTAGCCAAACACAATCGCCAAGTTGCCCACAGGAATTTCCCCCAATTGGCCAGAAGTGAATTACCAGTTTGATCTAAGGGAGTGTAGCCAGGACCCGGGAGAAACAACCTTCTCTGGTCGAATAGGGTCCTTGGGTTTTTCGCGTCCAAATCAACAGGTAAACGGACCTTGGTTTAATGTCTTACCTAAAGTAAGACACCTCTGACAATACAACACTTCACCATCACTGTTTAGCGTGTCAACCTAGACTATACGAGTTCTAAATCCCAACATGAGCTTGAACCCACAACCTTCTGGAGTCCTGTACCGTGGAGTCCTGTAGCTCAGTGGTTAGGGTACTCGCCTTGCAAGCCAGACACCTGGGTTCAATTCCAGGCAGGGCGAAACCTTGGACAAGTTTCCTTACTCCACACGCCTAATAATAATCCCTCCAAAACAAAACAATAATAAATTGATCATTTTCAATCCACGACTGTTTGTGGGACACTGCTGTGCGCAATTGGCTGCCGCGTTTCGCCCACAAATATATGGTCAATTCACTTTACAGCATATTCTGTGAAGCGCTTTGAGACGACCAGAAGACATGAAAAGGACTATATCAAATGCAAGGATTATTATTATTCTGACACAGGCGAGAGTGCTGCCAACTGAGCCAGGCTGGATATATGTATTGTAATGAAGATGTAATGTCACCAATACAATATGTATCTGGATGTGTCATGATACAAATGGGGCAACATAGGATTCACATCTACAAAGGTTTTTTCATATCTGTATGAATCCTCACAAATAAAAGACCATTCACACACCAAAGAGATAAGTGGAAAAGAAGGTTGTATACAGTTCGGCAATACTACATACAAAAGGTTGAGGTCGTTCCTCAACAGACCACTGCGGAAGAAAGCATTACAGGACTCAATTCATGCAATGCTGAGTTGTTCATATAACCCTTTGAACACAGTGGATTTGGAAAGCCTAATTCACAGATGCTCTGCTGATTCAATGTGGTAAAGAAGATACAAGGACATACTTGCTTGACAAGAGCGTCTGCCTCCTGAATTGCACAATGTGATATGGCTGCTTAAATGACAGTAGTTAATTTCAGACAACAGCAGGGGAATTAATGGGAGACAAAGCAGATGACCTTCACTGGGATAAAAATGTATAGCCTCACAGCCCTGCATTCAAGATCCCCTTGAAGTTGTGACCAAGGTAAATGCTTTTAGTAATCATGGAGTCCTGTAGGATATTGGCTAGAGCACTCGCTTTGCAAGTGAGAGGACCTGGGTTTGATTCCCGGGCAGGGCGAAACCTTAGGCAAGTTTCTTTACTCCACACACCTGTGTTTACTTAGTAGTAAGTAGGAACCCAGTTGTTTATCAAGTTCAATTCTCTATTTTGGTAGCAATTTGCACATTGGGAACATTTAACAAAAATATTGTTAGAATTCTTACATTTTATTTGAAAGCCCAAAAGCATACATCTTTGACCATGTACTTGGTCAATATTTTTTAAAACTTCTTATTTCTCCACTTGGAGTCCTCCATTATATTTGTCAAGAAGTTTGCAATATTATTTCAATGAATGCCTCAACAAATAAACACAAGTTGTTAATATTAAAGAAAACAAAAGCTTTTAAAAAGTCAATTTGAAAATATTTAACAATAGAAGATTCAAACACATTGGCTGAATTGAACTGATGCAACACTGAACATGAAAATTTAAAACAAACTAAGACAAAAGAGATGATTGTCTACATACAAAATATTGTGAAACTAGGTGCTATTGCTACAGCTGACACCTATTGCAGGAAACAAACTATTCCATACACAGCCACAGGATGGAGTCTGTGCATCAATTTTTATTCTCAGCAAAGTTTAAAGACAAAGTACAGCAGGTTGGTGATAAATAGGGTTATTCTAATTTTTCTTCACATGCCAAGATCTCAATCTCAGACGTGTCATCAAGTACAAATGACATTGTTAAGAGACTGGTGGGTTCATCACAGGAAGATAAAAATGGAACATGAGATACTTTGGCAGTTTTTGTGCCTGGTTCAGGAATAGAGGTGTCTTTTTTCACAATAACTGGCATACTATCAAGAGGCAGCGACAAAAGGAGAAAATGTCTCATGAAATTGATCTTGGCAGCATAAACTGGACAAACTGTGATAAGATATTAACAAGGAAGTCACAGATTCCTATAGTTTAATACATAATCCAGAAGCCTTGGTTCTGCAACTGATAGCTCTGCGTTTTAACATCTATATAGATGTAGCAGAAAAATGCTGGGAGTGTTCCAGTTATAGTGTGTGAAGCTGTGTCACTGGTATTCTGTTTTGGATTTGTATAAGATTATGACGTATATCTGGTAAAGATCACATTAGCATAAATGGAATTCATTTTAAACACCAGTAACTGTTTCTCTAATGTTAATCTTTTAGAGGATCAACAGTTCAGCCATATGATGTTAAATTGGAGTAGTCACAGTCATCATATCTAATGGTCTGCAGAGATTTACCTTGTACCAAGCCCACATGTATTTTTTTTTGCAGCCTGACAAGACTCAGCGTATTCAACCTCCAAGTAGATATCGGCTTTGCAAAACACTGAACAGTTTGTCCACTTGAGGCTGATCTTCCTCAAAGATTTTCTCTTTTTTACCAGCCATCTGCACAAAGGTAACCTGTCTGTTCTCCCAGTTTGTAATGCTGGATCATGCTTGAAAGAAAAAAAAACTGATCGGAATCAAGTGTGGCCACCATTTTATAAGTGTTGGTCATCTTCTATACAAAATCATTACTTGAAATCTTAGGAAAAAATAATATTTTTCACCCAGATCTTTTATGAATCTTGCCCCAAGTAATATTTTTTTTCCAGTTTTTTTTGGTGCCAAGCATCTTCAATCACTATGTCCGACCATGTCTACGGTCACCTCCCCTTGGCTCAGAGTCATGCTCTGTCACTGTCAAGCACTCTGGGACACTACCCTGCGTGAAGGGCGCTATATAAATGAAAGTTGTTGTTGTTGCCATATTCACTGTAAAACAGTGGATGCTGGAGAAAGATGTTAATCCAAAAGGCAATAAACCAGAATTAGTAGCACATTCCTGTCGCTTAAAAGTATTGACTGAATGCTGTGTCGCAAAAGCCGTCTTGAAATTTAAGATGCACCTTGAAATTGATGTGTATTTGTAGTCAGGAATCAAAATTATACAATTTAACAGATATAGAATGGAAGAAATGGTATAGTTTTAGGTCCGAAACATGACAGGAGTTTGAACCAGCACCACAGATACTTCTGGTTACATTGAGGATTGAGAGATAGATTAAAAGCAAAACTTGCGCATACATAAAAATAACAATAACAATGTACTTCTCCAAATGCTTAGCAAGTAAATACCATATATTTTGTGGTATTCAAAAAGACAATGTTACCAATTCAAATTGTGTCACTCAGCTCCTGATTTACAAATTTAGATTTGTACTTTCCTATGAATAGCTCAAGTATACTGTCCTTTGCAGCACACTGATTTTTAACAGAATATGGAGGATAAAGATGATAATGCTCAACATTTGATAAATTGCTACACTGAGGGGCCAATGTGTGTCAATGGTTTGGCTGATTAATCAAGGACCATTCAGTCCATTGACATGGTAATTAAGTACATGTAGTGCATAAAGTGAGTTTTCAAAATATTAATCTAGAGGCAAAGCAGAATAAATTCACTCAAGGATATAACTTTAACATTTATTTTCTTATTTCTTCCTCTCCCTGCGACATGTTGAAATACTACTCCACAAGAACTGGCTCAACTATCTCATTCAATTGGACATTCTTCATGTGTGCGAGGGCTGGCAAGCTATTTTCATCATGACAAGTATCAAAAGTCAAGAACAATCATATCCTTATCCATTGCTCTTCCCGGCAAACAGAGAATAAGGGCCATAAATAGAAAACCATTTTTACTCTTATTCAGAACCTATGCCAAGGGCCCAAACTCACAATGAGGCAGAATAACTTCAAGGTTGAGGAGAACAGCAGTGAAAATAAGATGTCAGCGCAAAACTTTTTCTTGACACCCTTGGTTAGGTGATGCTTAGTTTAAGCTTTAAAATACACCAAATCTTGAAGGAAGAAGTGAAAATGTGTCAAGTAAAGAATTAAGCCTCAAGACCCTCCTCTTCGACCATGCCATCAGCCACCCCCCTTCCCCTCCCCTCTCCCCCCTTGACCCCAGCTCGGGTCTGAAATGTTGTACTCTGTCCAGCGCCTTGAGACGTCCTCCCAACATGAAAGGCGCTATACAAATGTAATCTTGTTGTTGCTACGATCCTGAGAAATAATGAGATACAATTACAGCACCATGAGGAACAGCGTATCAGTTGGACTGGAAGGTAATGGCTCAGACCTTCTGCAGGTTAGCAGGCAAGATATTATACATTATTTGCTTCGCTGATGATGGCAATTGTAAAATAGGTAACAAAATGGTATTTGTGCCATTGGAGTTCTCAGAACCAAAACAGCAATTGTTTGTGCCTCCAGTGATATAATGAACAGGGACTTTGTTGACTTAAACAAGCTGAATCGTTGAAGTACTCACTGTAATCTCAAAGTTCTAAGTTTAAAGTTCTATTTGTCTATATGCCCAAATTTATTTCCATCCTGGTAAATTAGTCTGAAAACATAGGTATCAACAATTCTAGGGAATCTACATGAATGCTTTTTACCCAACAATAACAACAAATTACATTTGTACAGCGCTTTTCACATCAGGAGGACGTCCCAAAGTCAGGGATTTGGATCCGAGCAGGGGGTTAGGATTAGGAGTGCAGGAAGACTTTGACATTGAAAACAAATTCAGTGTCAAATAACACAATTGTAACCAGCTTTTCTGTGATTAGTAACTGTCAAACATAAACCTAGTTTATTTTGTCAACAGTCAAACATAAAACCGCTTGTTTCTCTTCTGATGTTCTCAGAAGCGATACAAGCAGAATAAGAAAATCCTGTAATAAGATTAAGTGCTCTGAGATGCTGTCTAGCATAAAGGGCGTTATATAAATGCAATTTTTTGTTGTTGGATATGCATTACAGCTAAATACATTTTCTGTTATGCTGCAATTTACAGAATAATTAAAAAAATTTGGAAATAAATTAACTGAAAAAAGGAGGAAACTCTGTAGTAACTACTTACCCCCGGATGTAGCCCAAGTAGTTTTAAAACTACTGTCAGCAACTATCAACGGGGCTCTTCCACAAAGTTTTGCATTCATCCAATAACAGTGGAGCAGATGCCCTGGAGTATAAAGCAAAGGGGATTCCCCCTCAACTCAGTCTAATACCTAACGTTTCTTACCACAATCAACAATTTTGAGACCAGTTTGTCAGTGCTCCTTTCACCCTCCAGTATCTTCTGAAGTGAATATGCACCAAGGGTTTAGCCTCATTTAATATTTTTGATAAACTTTTTTAAAAATAAAAACAATACCGCTGGGAAAACATCCAGGGTACAATGACAAAGTGCTTACCCCAAGAGTTTCCTTCTCTTAAAACTAATACTATGTGATATATATACACTGAATTAAAAAACACTGACTTTTTCCCCTCTAGTAATCAACTGTAGACCTCTGATAAACTTTGTGGGATTACATCAATTCTCAATGCTTTAGTGAGGAATAGGGAATCACAGATGGAGCTCTACAGCATGTCATAGCTGACTTTGACCAGGAAAGTATCAGTGCTATGGACAGGTCAGAAGCTATATTGAAGGGATTTGAATAAGGAATGGTGTAGAAGTACCTGGGTGGCAATTACATATTCAAGAGAGAAAGATTCAAGATGGGAGGTAGTGTAAGAAAATAAAAGAATTTAGTGGTGGTCTTTCTAAGAAGGAGTAATGACAGTGGTTTTAACAGAGTTCTGATCTGCTGTTCACAATATTCAAAGTATTGTTTCTCATATTGAAATAAAGCTAATAATATCATGCTATGTGCAAAAGATACCAGAAAAAGTAGTTGATAATGAATCCATTTTTTAAAAACAAGCTGAAGAAATATCTGGTTTTCAAAGGGGAACTGGTGACATGTAGGAAGAGATAGATGACAGTTCATGTGCTGCTGAAATCAGCAATAGTTAGAGTTCGCTTTGAGAACAGACCAGGGTTGAACAGTGGAAATGGATGAATATTCTAGTTTTGATTTATTACCTTTAAGATACTATAACTAGTTATGCAGAACTTTTCCACTGATTAAATGGGTATGGTAGAATCCATAATGGGCTGTAGATTGTAGCAGGCTTGATGACAATTTCATCCACATTTTCTTATGGATCCTCCATGCAGTTTTAAAACCAAGTAGCACAAGTTTATTACCCAATAGTTCTCAATGTTTTATGAACATGTAATTACCAGCCTTCAAACATTATTTATATGGTGTATAATTTTTTTCAGCATGCGTTCAAGATTATATACAACATTACTGTAAGTTATAAGGTACTATAAGTCTGATTAATTGCCATCTAAATATGGGTTTGTCAATGTTGGCACGATGAAGCTAATGGTATCAGGTATAAGTGCACAGAAAAGATGATTTAAAATATTACCCATTTCCCATATCACTGGACACATAATATACTTGTGATCTTATTCTGATGCAAATCATTCAATTTTACCTTCATCAGGACTGCAGCACCATTTGTACCACAATCGATAAACACTTCAAAATGACAAGTTTTCAATCAACAATAGTGAAGAATCATTTCACTATACTTTTATTACAATTAGAAAAAAATTTTTTCTTTTTTTTGTTACAGATGCTGATTGTGAGAAGTGCCGAATACTAAGAAAAAAACCTGTTGAGCAAAGGGATAATACGTCATGCTCATAAACACATGGGAGTAACAAGCTGCAGATAATTGAGTGAAACATTCAATACTTCACTTACTGTTCTTTTCCTTGAGGTTCCTGTCATACAAGGCAATAAAAGCGATCCTGATACCTGCAGAAGAAAATCATGTTATGAATAATGAACGCATTCATCTTAAACTAAACACAAGGCAAAAATGTTACCGAAAGGTTACCAGTATCCCGGTGTCTTCTAAAATAAATAACAAGTATGAATACATCACAAGTGGTTTGAAACAAACCCCAAGAATACAGCTAAACTCAACCCAAGAACACAACTGAAAATAATTGCATGCTTTGTATTCTTCAACTTTCCAAAATCTATATTATTATAAATAACCTTAGGTTCAGCGTTTACATATAATATGCACAATGCAGTACCACATTAAAATAGTCAAGTCTAGCAAGGCTCCAGAATTCTAAATTCTTATGCTTGTTCTGTATCAAAATATATTTTACTATGATTGGGCTGGCCGTTTTTTTAAAAAAATTGACTATATTGTACTACATTTCATCATTTAATGCTTGGACAGCAAACTATTCTGCTCTCTTTTTGAGGTACAGCTGCTTTATATTAGTATAATCAGATATTATTGGGAGTCATTTGTAAAGCTGTTTTAAATCAAGGCACCTGGGCAAAATTAATCAAGAAACTATTTGAATTGGGACACTTATCAATAAGAAATAATGGTTGGGAACAATTTTAGAATATTCAAATCCGAATAAATGCTATATCAAATGCAAGGATTATTATTATTATTACTGCAATCGGCACTTTTTAATAGGCCAGTCTGAGATTTCCAGTTATACACAGTTTAGGGTATATCTAAAAATTATTTACATCAATACAATCAGTATGACTTTTTATTTGATTTGCTGTTTAATTGCATTAGTCACTTTGAATATCTGTAAGTTGTTTCTGTAGCTCACTATATGCCTTGATAGACTATTTGTCATTGAGCCAGTTTGCTTCTTTCTGGCAAGCAAGTATTGCATTTCAACATTGTTTTCATCAAAGCAATCTTGATGCTTATATTCTGTGAAGCCAATGGATTCAGAAGCAGACTGGCATACAATACCTTTAAAAGCTTGCCATTCTTTTTTTAAACCACCCATCTGTTTTAGCTTCTGTTCAGATGTCAGGGCTTGTTTGCTTATCAAAGATCCTCAATAGTCTAATTTTTAGATTACCTAACATTAAGGCATTTTGGCATTGATGCCAAAACACTGTAACATTTTGGAGAAATCATATGAGCACATTTTGTTCAGAACCATAGGAATTTGTAGCACATGAGATTACTCGACCGATCATGCCAGTGCTGGCTTTCTGAAAAACGTCCCATTTTGTTTAGTTCCATTCTCCTGCCTTTTCTCAATACCGTCGAGATTTCTTTTCCTTTTTGAATACTTATTTAATTATCTCTTGCAAGTTAATCTTGACTCTCCCTTAACCACCATTCTAGGTAGGGCATTCCACAGCCTAACAATCCTGTGTTCAAAATGGTCAGTATAACACATTGCATCACACGTTCAACAGAGCAATAAAAACTCAGAAAAATCAATTTGAAAAGTGAATTGAACATAACTGATCTATGTGTTGTTTAGAACAGATGCAGAAGGACCTATGGACAAAGTTACTATTTCTCTCCCTTCTCTCCAACAGTCAAGAAAACAGAAAACCACAAAACAGACAGGTCCAAATGATTAGTTATGATTATTATTAATAGCATTTGCTATGACACCTATGATGTAGAGACGAATCAAAGCATGTCACAGGATTTACAGTTAAGGTGTAATGACCGTGTATTTTGTACAGACAATTTGTGCATAGCAATGTCCCACAAACAGCTAGGAAATGAATGATCAGTTTAATCTAGGGGATTGTAGACCAGGAGTAGCTCCCTTCTCTTTTCGAATGAGGCTGCAGGGTCTTTAACAGAACCTTGGTTTAAAGTCGTATCCAAAGGCCAGCACCTCTGACAATGTCCCAGCCTTGCACTGGAGCACTAGCCTTGGCAGTGAGCTTAAAGTGTTGACAAAGGGCTTGAATAGATAGGTAATCTTCTGACTTAGAAATGAGAGGGCTACCGGCTGAGCCACATTAGTCGATTTGCTAAGAATCTAAAAATTCCACAAAAATAAAACACACGAGTTCTGAATTCCTTCGCTTCTGGGTTCAGAAAGCCAAACATTCTAACTTTTGAAATACTGAGCCATTTCAGTGCTTATTTCAGTCACTTTTTTCCAATAGATCATGTACAAATCCAATTTAATTTAGGTTGTTTTAAAGTTCCCATCAATTTGGAGTTAGAAGTNAAAAAAAATACACACTGAATATGATCAGACAGGAGTATTTTCAGAAAAAGACATTAGGGTCAAATACATTTTGGTATCTAAAGGGATTCCTTAATCAAGATAGTGAGATGTCACACTGACTCGCAGGAATGTTACTATGACACAACCTGCTTTCAGATGCAAGTTCCCTCAGATCAGCGTGACATACCTCCTATTACTAAAATATTCCAGACCCACTCTGATTACTTAATTATGGAAGCAATTTTTTTTTAAATCACCTCATGTAAGACTTCATTACCATAAGCAACATAGAATCTATGGATAGAATGCTCATAAAAATCTAATGACCGATCAAAAAAGAAAATTAAGCTACCCAAAAAGAATATTGGAACTTTAATTTCTGGAATTTCATCCAGTTTTTAGAAAATTTTCTTTTAAAATCAATGAAAAGTTTAGTATCAGAATAAGGTGACTTTGTACATGCATGTATGTATGATGCCATTTAATTCCACATTTCCTATTAAAAATAAATAGCAGTCTTTATTAGATTGATAAGACTAAGACATATTGTTACCTGATAGTTACTTTGACTCAGGGGTAGCCTTTGGTTGCTAGTTGTTGGAAGACTGAAACGGTCTTCTGACATAGCAGCTGTACTGTATAGGGTCACTGCAGTTCCTGGTGGTCGAAAATCTCTGCTACGGTATAAGACACTTGCAGAGGCATCCCTTGGATTAACCTGCTGTGAGGTTATACTAATGTTTCTCACTGGTGATGCCCGAGATGTGCTTGAACTTTCCATTTCTTTAGCTGCACCTCCTTCAGAAACTCTTGATAAATTCATCATGCCTGAACCCATAGATGCAAGTTCTTCCTCTCTGGCATATTCATCAACATCCCCAGTTTCCATGGCAATGGAAAAGCATCCACTTTCCGTTTGACGGGAGCTCTGAAAAGAATGCTCCCCTTGGTTCCTTGGAGAGTGTTCGCTGCTTGCTAGTGAGTATACCTCACGAATCTGAAGTGAACTGACAGAAGGGTCTCGACAATGTGAATTTTGTCTTGCATTGGACAAACAGTTCAATGGGCTGCCAGAGGAAAGAGGCTCATAGCTCATTTTCCGTGGACAGCGAGCCAGTTCTGTATTAAGATGTTGTTTTGGCCATCCAGCTGGTTTAGATGCTACAGACTCCACTCCAATCTGGATATAACTAGTGCTGTAGCTTTTTGTGCTGGGGGAGTACATTGTGCTGCTGGAATTGTGCAGATTTAGTTGTCTTGATCCAGAAGTCATTTTGTCACAGAATGCTGTTGCAGAGCTTTTAGAAAGAGATCCACGCTTTTGAACACCAATTTGCTTTTGTAATTCCATTTCGGTTATAGTTCGCCCAACTGGCCTGTGGATAAGACCTTTCTGAATTTCACGTCTATGGCCATCATTCTGATGAAAAGGCCCTTGTCCACTGGCACACTGGGTAGAGGTAAACACACCTGTTACCTTTATATTTCTACATGGAGTTGTTAAAATGTTTTTTTGGCATGGAGAGGGAGGAATGAGGACTATACTTTTCACAGGTGTGTCTGATTTTCCATCCGTACCGTTATCTTCTCGTCCGTGTGTAGGCAATGTATTGTCTGAATTATATTTTGTTGAATTCAGTTTTCTTCTTTTGTTGCCAATCCAGGTCTGCAAAACAGTTAAAATTATTAGGCAAAAAAGGTTTTTTTTTGAAAAAGAAACAGAAATGAAACAAGCCCATTGGTAAAAGAACATAATAAAGCCTGCTTAAAACGGGCTTTCATTTGCAATGGAGAGGATGATTAAATACTGCCCATTCACCAAAAATGTTTCATTTTGAACGTATGTTAATATTTAGTTGCATTTATTATTTCATACATATTTGCATTGCTCTCACGTTCATTCTGCACTGCTAGTTTCATTCATTCACTGAGAATCGGGAACTTGGAAAACACAAAATTAAGGTTACACAAACTTGCAGATGTGCAAGTGAAAATTGTCCCATTGGATATATGTCCGTTAGCAAACACGCACAGAAAAGCGATCTGTGACATTGTCGACAGTACCCAATCATAAAGTTCTAATCAGCCCAAGTGAACAATCAGCAATTTGGAATTACGCGCTCAACTTTTGGCAATTTGCATTTCAGGGAACAGAGATGTTTTAAAGGTACGGACAGAGCAACAAAGATTATTCACAATATAAAAGAAAAGAATATTGGGACCTTGATTTGTTTATGCTTTTAAACACTTCAATCGGGTTAATCTGATCATATGACCCAAAATGTAACAAGTCTTAATCAAAACATACAGCCCCATCCCTACATTGGATTTAACCCTTTTAAATGAAGTCAGAACAATCCAAATTCTAAGGATAAAGACAAACCAAATATTCATTGCAACAGAACAGTTCTAACTGTGCTGAGACCGTGGGATTGGAATCAATTCATGAAAATGAAAATGAAAAAATATTCTACATATTCTATGATTACCTTTTTGAATTAAGAAATGTCTTTTTTTAATACATTTATATTATTTATTTGCTGTTATTAATCTCCGTAAAAAGATCAATATCAGATGAATTGGGAAAGTCTACGACAGTGTAGTAAAGATTGTATATGTTGGAAAAAGCAGGTTAATGATCTAGGTTAATAACCCAGTTATTACCCGCAGGTTAAGCAGCTAATAACATTTTGTTCCACATCAATGGAAAGGTTGGTGTACACAATCTTAGCAATGGATTTTAAAACTGGAACATATCACTGTTGAGGAACAAATCCCATTTAAAGTTGGAAGCAACCATGGATTTTAAATGTACTGTGAAACAATGCTATGTACTATTCATAGTCAGCGAGACATTGCATTGCACAATATTTTTGAACAAAAACTGAACAGTAAAAAATTTTGTCACTTTTAAAATTAATTAAGTTACCAGAACTGGATTTTTTTTACTAAGCAAGTCCAGTCACTTCAACACCACAAAATGGTTGCCAGTGTCAGCTCAGTGGATGCCACTCTTGCCTCTGGATCAGAAAATGGTGCATTGAAACCCTATAATCAGGGCTTGAGTTTAAACTACTAGTCTAGTATAGGGAGTCCTGCAATGTCTGAGATATCATTTTCAGATGAGATGTTAAATCAAAGTTCTGGCTGCCTGTTCCAGTGGATGCTAAAGATCCCATACCATTTCAAATTAAAATAGTATCTTCTGGTGTCCTCCAGGTTAATTGATCATTTACCTTAAGGTTGTTTGTAGGACCTTGCTACCCAATTATAAATGAATGCAAGCAATAAAATGACTATTTTCTCACCATAATTTTATTTGCAGACAAAATACAGGCACGTGCGTGCTTGTGTGTGTATGTGTGTGTGAATATAATTAAAAATGCTCTGTGGTTTTAAAAAGAGCAAAACCATCTGGCCATTATTTGATTTCCTTTCCACTCAATGGTTCATGTAAACAGACAAGGCCAAAATGATCTCTCCCCCCACACATTAGGGTTTAAGATACAAAGTGCTTTTCAAATGCGACTTACTCTTACAATCGTTGATGGACTAGCTGGTCAATAGTAGACTTTGAACCAGTGAAAAATATCTCCCATGAAGCCATAAACAAGAAGATCCAATAGGAGCTTATCGTTTATGGCTTCATGGGAAAGAGAGAATGATATCAAAAAGAGTTATGATGGGGTTCCCCTGTAGTTCTATTTGCAGTAGAACTGTAGGGAACTCCATTATAACTCTCTTTGATACAGCACTCCCTTGCTTCTTGTGAATGTTTACCCATGTTAACCAGACCCACGATTCACCAGCTTTCCAGTGCTCACAAGCTTGCTTCCCGCATTAAAAAGTGAACGATTTGGAGTCAATAGGTCGTCGCTGACATCAGTTCTTGCATGCTGCACAATCACATTAGAGCACTGCTAACGTCACTTCCTATATACTGTACACATTTTAACCTGACTCAGCAGCCATATTACAAGTAAGACATGAATAGCAGCTGAATGTGCGCTTTACGCAGGAAACACTGCCAACATTACTTCCATGCTGCCCATACTCATTCTGCGCAGGACGGTATGATGTAACTTTGCAAGGAAATTATGTCAGAAGTACAGCACATCGGAAATGACACTAGCAGCGACCTGACTATCCGGAAGTGAATCAACCATTTTTCGTACTTTACTTATAATACAAAGCTGAGATATTGGACACAGCCAACAAAGTTGGTCACAGGTGTAACAAGGTTTTCCAATATGAAGACTTTTATTACTACCACCACCACCAATACATATTTCTGGCTTTGTTCAGAAACTAGCATTGGTCCAAAAACAAGTTTGCAGGAAAGGTGCCTTAAGCAAGCAAATGTCAAATCTACAACTATAATTCCAATAACAAAATAACTACATTAGAATATATTAATTATTTTTCAGGAAGAATTGCTTAAAAGAGCAGAAATAATTAAAAACGTGTGTTTTATTACAAATAGATGTTTTATGAAAATGTTTTATGAAAAGATCATCTTTTTAGTCCATTACAATATTTCCTGTCCTTAAGTATGTACGCTTCAACATGCTGGTATGGATGATGAAACTGAAACTTTTCTAAAAACCCACTTTACAAAACAGACACCTGCTGACCCAATCCATTTAAAAAGCAACAATGACTCATACCAAAAGATCCACAAACGAAAATGATTTACATTCCATTCTGGCACTAGTTCAACATGCTCTAACATGGAACAGGTGTATTAAAAAGCTTTGCCAAGAAACATTATATTTACAGAACAAGAGATTCATTGGCCTGGGGAAAAAAAGAAGGCCTGAAACTATTAGACAGCAGAAGTAGTTCTTTGCGAAGAAGAGAAATAAAAAAAACTGCAGGTTCAAAGTTACAGTCCAAGCCCAATAGTAGTTGATTTGATTAGTTGCCAATTAATTACACACTGACCTACAAGTCTAAGTAAACTCCATTTTACAAGTTTTGAAAAAGTTGTGTTTCACCACTGAACAATGGTTCCCAGCTTCCATTCACTGTTCATTGAAACAAAAAAACAGGTATTGTTACTGAGCCTCAGTTCCTGGCAAAATGCCATGTTTGTTTTGCATTGGCATTGAAACATTAAAAAAAACGAAGCAGTTGGCAGACCTTTTTCCGTTATTAAAAAGTAAAATGCACATGGTATTTTAGGATAAAGTCACTCAGGGCTTTATCACTTTGAAAGAGAAAGTTATTTATACTTGTGCAGATGAGTCAGTCATAAATCAAAAATGTAATCTGCATAAAACACTTCCTGCAAATTTGACCGTTATAATACACACACAATTCCACTGGATCAGTTTCACTCCTAAAAATACTCCATTATTTAATTCTATAGGGATCTATTATAAACCCAACATTCCCAGGATGGTTATGGAAGAACTTTATACTACTTACCCTGACTACATTAAAATCTAACCCCGTTTCACGTGCACACTGTATTATTAATCCAAAGCAATTTTTACTTTGATTTGTCATTCCACTGTCATAATAACGCTGCAATACTCGATGCTGTTCCTCTGTGAATATAGAACGCAGGTTCATCTAAAAAAAAAGAAAGTACAGTACTTATCAATTCAGAATGTGCTAAAACATCTGAAAACCTTAATATTTAAAGAAAGCAAAATGCGGGTGTATGTAGATAATGTAGATAGATAAATACAACAGAACAGATTTGTTATCAGCATTTAAAATCTACTTGGTTTAAGATTCAATTTCGTAAATGTTCATTTTTTTAACATATAGTCTGGATGAGAACATATCCTCAGCAAATTGAACATTTTTGGGGAAAAAACTGAATTAATTAACTTACCATTGATAGAATGAAACTAAAATCCTTGGATGAGAAATTCCTCATGATATAGATGTGTGCTCACATTCAGTGGTGTGAGGAATTTCTAGTCACTTTTATTTAGTTGGCCAAGGGAAAGGTTTTAAACCAGAACTTCTCCAGGCATTAAGTCAACAGATAATTAAGTCAACAGATAACTGCACAGCAAGACATTTTGAGGCTGAAGGGAAATGCAGGATTAAAACAAGCGCATCAGTAATGTGCGACTTATATAAAAAAAATCTTACAAATGAAGTTAACGTAATTAGTAAATTTATGTGCAATGTTCTGCTGCTGAGTGCATGAAAATGACATCATAGCAAAATGTCATTCAAATAATATTCAGCCTAATAGTATTAACAGCTGAGATATTGAAACATTTCAAAGTGCTTCACACAATGAATTAATTTAAAATTCAGTAACCATTATATTGGCAAACAAGGCAGCTAATCTATAACAGCAACAACCCATAAACAGCAATGAGATGACTGACGGATCGATCTGGTTGTTGGTGAATTTGGATGAGGAAGGAAATACGGTTAGAAGACCAGAATTCCCTTTTCTTAAAACCATGGAATAGAATCTCACATATATCTATCTGAGACATGGCCTCAGTTTAATCTCTAATCCAAAGGACTAAATTTTAAACGCTCCACGCAATACTGCATTGGGTGTGTCAGTTTAAATGAGCTCTTTCCATTTTCTAGAAGATTTGCTGTAGACCCACTGTCTCTCACCTAATTCACCATCTCTCAGTGAATTACAACAGGAATGTACATAGCCAAACAAATTAAAATATCTTCCTTATGTCCAACAAATATTTTATAATATCAGTTCTCTTCTAGATCAATGTTAATAGCCGGAGCTCCCTGCATAATGCAGATTAAGGAGTTCTGTAACTCAACCACAACTGGTTTTAGATAATATAATTTTATTATTTACATCTATGCTATAATGGGCTAGATCCTTCAACATCGAGTCGTTAAAAATTGCACTTGGCGCATTTGTCATTGCAACAATTGGAGAAAAACAATGAGACAGAGCAACCTCAAATTGAGATATTCCACATAAGTGCTTCACCATACAACTGTTGAAAGTAAACTGGGAGATGTTAAAAAGTAGTCAAGCCTAAAGCAGATTAATTGGATGAATATTGGAGTAGGACAGATGCAAGAGAGAAAGGGAAAGAAGGGATGAATATATATATTTTTAAAAACTGCATTCAACTTTCCTCATGCTAATAACAAAGAAATAATACAAGTAACCTTTCTCCACTTTCCTTTCAACATGGAAACTCTTACCAATTTCCAATGCTTTCCCAAAATACACTATGTACCAATTACGATATTTCCACCCGTTTGCATTATCCATTAACTTCATGTTCTAGTACAATACTAAATGATTACGGTACAGTTATACTTGGTCATTATATATTATAACACAGTGTAGCTAATTTGGAAAAATGTCACAACTTTACCTAATATGACCAGCCTCGAGACGAGGAAAACAATAAGACATTTCCCAATTCTTCATACTCATTTTGAGAAAAAAAACTTTCTCAGATCAATACAGCATCTTACATATCAGCAGATCATACTGAACTGTACAATAAGAGGAACAGAAAGCAATTGAGGTGCAACTGATTCCTTGTTGGTTTCAGTTTTCTGCATCTTATTGCCCGGTATAATGCTAACTCCAAACTATGTGGCATCATATATACAGAGTCCTCATACCCTCACAATAACACAATTGAAATCCAACCAATTTATGCAATATACTGATGTTATATTACATAAGAGATGACGATTGAGCTGATGCAAAACAGAAACAGTAGTTTCAGACGATGAGTACAAAGCTCAGTTAATCAATTTCATCCAAACCCAAGCTTCTAGAATTTGGAATATGCTATAGCACATGAATCAAATATACACAGTTATGGGGTGGTTATAGTTCCCAGCATTACAGAAGACGTCAACTCACATTTTTGGAATGAAATTTAATTAATCTTTATTTCTCTATCACACACTGCATATACAGATTATAGAAATTTACAGGTCATTTTATGATGCAATTACTTGGAAAACCTCTGGCCATAACCATTGAAAATCCAGTAAATGGAAAGAGTTACTGTAAGAGATTTGCAAGTACCTAATATGTTGACTTTTATAAATATTTATGACAAATATTAAAACATAATGGAAAATGACATACAACAAGGTGCAGTTTTCAGTACTCATCTGCATAATATTCATTTATTTGTTACAATACTAAAGATTGCAATAGAAATCCTAAAATGTTCAGGAGTACAAGATTGTATTAAATTAATTATCCACTCAAGCAGAAAGTTTGAGGCAGACTTGAGGAATAGGATGTGTACATCTATTCAGTACCCAAACAAGTCAAACCTCTCAACATTGATCAAAAACCATGGGATAAAATACCCTGAATATGTCCACAGGTACAGTACATGCCAAGGTACTGCTTGCAGATTGTGCAAGTCATTGCTGCATGTCTATAAGCTAAATTACAGTGAGATTCATGCAATATTTCATCTTCAGGATGAGAAGTTTTATGTTTTGTCTGCAGCAATTCAAACCACAGCCAATAAAACACAAAGGTTAATGTAGAACTCACAATTTAAAACTGCAGATACCTCAAGGGGCTAAGTGAACACAATTAACACAGACTACAATGTTGGAAATTGCATTTGACAAAATTCATTTCTAAGCATGCCACTCTTTATGTAAGCAGCTTTATGCAGTACACAATGATGACTGGTGACTTCTTGGTTCACAACCTTGCCTTGTACCAGCTGAAGAGTTTATTACACACGTTCAAGAAAAAAAAGTGCGCACACACACACTGCTCAAGCACAATTACTCTGCGTGCATTTTTTTTTGGAAAACTGGAGCGTAAAAACACATTGGTCTAGTTTAGAATTCAGAAAGGGTATTTGGTTCAGAAAAGTTAGCATGTGAATCTCACACGTTTTGAAATGCCAAAAAAAGGTATTTGGAGGAAAACTGTTTTTATAGATTGGCCACAACTAGGAAAGCGAATTTGGAAAGCTACACCCAACACCACTTCAAGCTACAAATGGTTGTTTTAATCTGCCACTGATTGGAACCCAGGGTTGGATGACCTCACAGTCTTTCAATATTACAAAACTGCTTTCACAAGTAGCTCTGCAATACTAGATCTCAATGTATTCAAATTATCCCATCTTTGTACCAAGGTGGTTTGATAAGATAAAGGTAGATGCAGAATTGGGATACAAGCCAAGGGGTGCCAGGTGTCATCTACCCTCAATCGGGCACTTTCAGTAGGTTGACTGGAAGCTAATCAGGTACTCTAGCTGACTTTCATGAGATCTCACCCAACCCCCCAACACCTCTTCTACTAACTCAGACACAAAACAAATATGGGGGACTGTGCCACCTGTACAGCTCATCAAGCCACTAAATAAATTTGCTGAATCAATTGAGGAAGCCACAAATCTGATCTTCAAGATAAAGAGAAGATGACTAACATTTCTATTCAGCTCAAAATTGAACATGGCAAATCGCTTGATACTGTTCAGCTGAAATAATACCAAAGCTTCTACCTTGCAGTAGTGTCAAATTAATATTGTCAGTTATACATAATGAAGTATTGCCATTTTATGATATTTTTCTACGGCAATTTTTAGCACGTGATGTCACGTTATCAAGTAGCTTCCCCCATTGTAACTGAGTACTTTATTCGACACAGGCATGTTTAACTGGTCACAATGTTTTTATCATACCTGTGGACAATCTCCCATTCTGATAGGCTTCCAACCCTCTTGTCAGACTCGATTGTGGAGGACACCTTTGCAAGACAAACTGCTGCTCCCCCTCGTACTGCACGGTTCCCAGCTGCAGGTGAAACCAGTGGATTTTAATTACAAAAATGCAACTAGTTTCATCAAAGGAGTAGCTGTAAAACAGTTTGCAGGAATGATTGAATAATAACAGTGTATTTACAAAAGATCTACTGGATAAATAGAAATAGGCTTTTCTTAAAATTGACCGGCCTATAGTCATGGCCTAGCAAAGCACATACAACTGTTATTAGGTCAAATGGAATCACACTGAAGTAAATAAAACAAGAAAGTATGCCAGTTGTTTTGTTATCTGTGAGATATAACTGCTTTGTACTGCATTCCAATTGGTGTATGCAGCAGGCTTGAAAAATTACAAGGGTACAACCATAAAAGTGTGGGGTGAGATGAGAAACCACAACAGCCGTGCCAATGCGATTTACTCTTCTACCTGCAGTGTTAACTTGTTCAAAAAAATTAAAGGCACTGTTTTCTGATAAGCCGAGTCTTATTTTATCCATGACAAGAAACAACAACAAAATTACATTTATAGAGCGCCTTTCACAGCGGGAGGATGTCCCAAAGCGCTGAAACATTTACACTATTAGCATAATTATAATTTTAAGTTGAAATAATTTCAAATTCTCAAAAACTTCAAAAGCTCAATGGATAGATGCACCGTCGAATGTGGTATTGAGCTAGATACAACCCACGATGGTGTAGATTCATCATGTCTGCATAAATTAATTGATCTCAGTTGAGGTAGTCCAATTGGCTTCACTGTCTCTTGAGTTTAGGGCATGAACAACTTCTACCAGGATCCCATTGGTATGAACAATATAGGGCTTTGATATGCTGCAACGTCACCATGATCAGATTAAACAGTTGGCCAATACTCACTGTCTCGTCTCACATATTAAGAATTATAACTTCAGTTAGGTACTGGAAGACTGCTGGTATCTGTGGAGCAAGCACCAGCATCTCTTCAGGGGAGGAGTGTAGAATACTGAAGATTAAAAATAAGTACACATTAGTTGTACATCATAAGGATTTCTGGGCAATTTTACAAGGTAAAGTCCTGCACGAGGCCATGATGTGTCATAAAGTAAAACAGTATCTTACCGGGAATAAGTTATTTCAAGAAGACAAACTTTATGGGCTCTGGGATAAAAGGAGAGAATGAGTGAAGATACAATCCGTACATAACACATAAAGACAACAATTTATAATTTGTGCTGTATTTATACAGCAACTTTCACATGGAGGGGATGTCTCTCACGGTAAAATTTGTTTTCTTCAAATAAATGCAGTGCTGTGTTTTTTTGGGAGGGTTGGGGCGCAAACGTTGGGGCTAGGATGGGGTGTTGCGTGTGGAATCACAGCAGATCCTGGTGCTCTAACAAGATGGAAACCTTTGATTTGGATTTGAATTTTTCTTTTATTTGCATCAAAAGAGCACTAAGTATTCTATCTCACTCGGTTGTTCAGAATAGTAAAATAACTGACCCAATGTTTGCTATTCCGGTATGAACCAAATTATTTTTCAATCTAACAATGCATCTAAATGAAACAATAAACATGACTGGATACAATTAGGACTGGGAAGCTGTACTCATTTCTATTCAACAACTGTACTGCGACAAAGTATCTCGATACTGGTAAAGATTGAACCAGAATGTTTCCAGATCTCTATAAGAGATACATCTTTGGGAAATGTATATTTTAGAAGATAATAGTGCAGGGCTCAAATAATATAACACACATAGGCTGCACGCAATTCATGTGAACAATAATTTATATTACGATATACAGTTTGCAATTGTTACGTAGCACATTTCCTCACCAAAACAAACTGACCTGATAATTGCTAAGGATTTGAACCTGAACTCTTCCTGATCTCTATAGATCTTTGGGCATGATCATAGTGAAAAACAAAACAGATCAGGGACACGGATTGCAAATTAATTTCAGGAGGGGGCCTGGGAGGGAATTAAGCTGCCATTGATTTAGTTAAAGCTTAAAGCAGGTTTATGTGATCTTGTGCGCTACGTTAAAGATCCCATGGTATTATTCGAAAAGAGAAGGGAGTTTCTCCTGGTGTCCTGGCCAACAAATCCCCTAAACAAAACAGGTCATTTACTGATGTTAGTGGGACACTGCTGTGCGCAATCCTGCGTCGCTTGCCTACAAGTCACTCCATTTCACAAGAATTGCCGCAAAGTGCTTTGGAGACATCCTTCCTATGCAATAAAAGCATTACACCAAAAGCAAGGATTATTATTAATAGTATTATTATTATTATTATTAGCCTCTGCCTGTGTCTCTCCTCCCAAACAGAGTGATCACTTGTCAGGTGCCGACAGGTTCCAGAACTGCGCATGTTTGCAGTCAGCGGCCTGGGATCCCCCAGTGAGATCCCGGCAACTCCGCCGCTGTCCTCCCTCCCTCCCTCTCTCCACAACGACAAGGCCTAAAGGTGTCTCTCCATCACCATCACCGCCACCACCATCATCATCATCATCATCATCACGAGGTTCAGCCGCGGAGCTGGGAAGAGATGTTTCATGGAAAGTTTTTTTTGGCGCCATTGGCTTGGGAATCCCCCCCCCCCAAAAAAAGGTGTGGAGCTGATTATTCCTTATTAATTAATTAATCAATTAATTAATAGTGGGACTGTGAGGATGACCTACCAGCACTGGCCGGGCCGGGCCGGAGGGGTAAGGACTTGGGCCACTTGCCTCAATCCACATTGGCCAAACCCCAGAGAGATCAGGAGAGAGGGAAAGAGGGAGGGATGGAGGGAGAGGAGGAAAAGAGGGAGGGAGAAAGAAAGGAGGGAAGGAAGAGAGAGAGAGAGAGGTGGGGAGGGAGAGAGAGAGAGAGGGGGGGGGGAAGGGAGAGAGAGAGGGGGGGAAGGGAGAGAGAGAGAGGGGGGAAGGGAGAGAGAGAGAGGGGGGGAAGGGAGAGAGAGGGGGGGAAGGGAGAGAGAGGGGGGGGGAGGGAGAGAGAGGGGGGGGAGGGAGAGAGAGAGATGGGGGGGAGGGAGGGAGAGAGAGAGGGAGGGAGAGGGGGGAGGGAGAGAGAGAGAGAGGGGGAAGGAGAGAGAAGGAGGGGGAGAACAAAAACAATCTCTGACCGTAGAATTCAGCATGAAATCACCCCCGCGCCGTTACCTTTCAAGCCCCTCTTTTTCCTCTATCATAAATCTCTCTCTTTTTTTTAAAAAAAAGGGGTTTGGTTTGGGGGGAAAAAAAATCCAGATGAATAATCGCTGTGGGAGGGTTCGTGCCTCTGGCGGAGCCCAAACAATACCAACCAACGCGGCCAATGGCTCTCAGCCCTCTCTCATGGTCATGACGCTCGGGGAGCACCAGGAGCCAATGGGGGGGAGAGGAGGAGGAGGGGAGGCCCTGCTTAAACCGGAATGGTTTTCATTTATTTCCTCCTCTCTCCCAACCCCCTTCCTCTCTTCCTTCCCCCCCCCCTTTCTCTCTCTCCCTCCCCCATTCTCTCTTCTCTCTCCCCCATTCTCTCCCTCTCTCCCCCCCTCCCATTCCTCTCCTCCTCCTCACTCTTTGACCCCAACGACCCTCTCTCTCCTCCCTCCCTCCCTCCCTCCTCCCTCTTCTCTCTCCCCAGGAAAACAGTCGACAAACTGGCTCTACAAACACACAAACAAGTCAGGAATTTCCTGCTGAAATCGTGAGGTCGGTGGGTTGCCACGTTATTTAGATCCTTCTTAACTCCCCCTCTCTCTCTCTCTCTCTCTCTCCCCCCAAGTGTTTTCCCCTTCTCTTGTCTCTCACTCTTATCTATTATCCTGTTTTTTGCTGGACATGTGTTGTTGTTACTTGCTCACAAGAGCGCCAAGCTGGGTGGTGACTCGCCTCAACCCGTGGACAAATAATTTGACCCAATGTGAACCAAATTATTTGTTTCTTGTCAAGGTAACATTGCATCCCAAATCGAACAATAAATACGACTGGCTGGCAATTAGGACTGGGAGACCTCGTCTCTAGTCACCGCCGACTGCACTGCCACAAAAAACTTATCTCGATAACAGGTAAAGAAAGATGTGAGCCAGAATGTTTCCAGGTCTCTTGTATAAGAGAGAGGGAGAGAGAGACATCTTTGAAGAGATGTTTCTCACAGTCCACTGTAGGCGGGTGTTAATGAACTCTCTTTTCACTGCTAAAGCGCTATATCAAATGCAAGGATTATTAGTAGTAGTAGTAATGTGGGATAGAGGACCATGCGGGTCAGGATTGGAGCTGGAAGAGAATGAATGTCAAAACTACGACGACTCCTTTTCCAAACCAAAACAGAAGTGGCCGGGAACACTCAGCAGGTCAGGCAGCATCTATGGAGAGAGGAAAGTGAGTCAACGAAATGTTTCCTTTCCTCTCTCCATGGATGCTGCCTGACCTGCTGAGTGTCCCCAGCCACTTCTGTTTTGGTTTCAGTTTTCCAGCATCTGCAGTATTTTTGCGTTTTATTACGACTCCTTTGTCTGAGATACAAATGTCGCAAGTTCACCGATGGGGTCCAATGTCTGGACATCCATCTCTATTGCAACGTTTTGATCTGCACTGCTTTTCACTCCTGTGGGTCTGTGCTCCTGATGCACACTACGCTTGAAGTTTTTTTTTGTTGAGTATTAAACAGCAGGAAGGGTGCAAGTCCTTTTCTGAAGTTGCTGAAATCTGGTAACTTGTTGCACACTAACGTAGGGTAACGCCAGTGGTTGGAAATGCCAAGAAAGCAAGAGTTTTAAGTTAAATAACTAACTTGAACCAGGTTAAAACAAACCGATACACTTGTTATTTCGTATTGTGGAAATGTTATGTGTATTGTTACAATTTGATGTAAGTAAATCGTTTCTTTAGTCCATTACAGCTGATATTTGTTGTAATACCTGTAAATTCAGCAGCCTGGAGCCATATAAGTCCAGGTACAAATAACAGTGCTGCTCCTCACTGTGCAGTTCAGGAAGGACTGTTAACTTAAGGTAATCAAATATTGTGGATACTCAAAACGTGGAACTAACAATTTTGTTTACTGACCAATATTGCAAAGCTGCAAGGGTATAAAAGCTAAATGTATTTAACACACAGTTCCATAGCATTATTGCAAAGCAGAGTGTATAATATTTTTTTCTTTAAAATATTTGCTAATATTGTATATTTTTTCTTTAGAATATTTGCTGATCAAATTTTGTATATAGAGTGATCGTTGTAAAATGATTCAATAAAGTAGTTTCTTGGATATAAGAGAACACAATTTTCCATTTTTTCCCCCTCCCACACACACTTATAAAGCAAAGCAGTCAAACCTATTGGCTATAATGGTGATGGGTAGCAGTGAAAACAGTAACATTATTTGAGGTAGACCAAAATACCAACTCATATTGTTTTGTCTATAATGTAGAGTAAATTTGCTTATTTCCTCAAATATATTGTTGCTTTAAATAATTGATATACCTTCATATGGACCACTATATTTTGTAGTGCTAATTATCACACCTTTTAAATAATTCTGATTCATCTTCCTATGAATCATGTGATGGTTATTCTGCAGTCCTGTACTTGAGTCACAGTACGTTCAAGACATCCCAAAGCGCTTCACAGAATATACTGTAAAGTGAATTGACACTAAATTTTGTGGGCAAGATGCGGCAGCTAACTGCGCACAGCAGTGTCCCATAAACTGTTGTGAATTCAGTGACTTATTTATTTACTTATTTTGAAGGAATTATTACCCCCAGAAAAGCAATCCACCAATTGACTAACAACTGGGTTCCTACTTACTGCTAGGTAAATAGAGGCATGTGGAGAAAGGAAACTTGCCCAACGTTTTGCCCTGCTGGGAATCGAACCCAGATCTCTCACTTGCGAGGCGAGTGTTCCAACCACTGAGCTACAGGACTCCATAATGGGAAACGTTTGTGAAATTTGAAAAACACCATCAGGTTTTACACAAGTTCCAACAATTAACAAGTGGTTATGAGTATTAGAATTAGATGGTGGGTTCAGATATTGCTACTAACCACTAAAGCTTTGCTGTACAGATTATAGTAGCTTTGACCTCTCAATTAAACCACTGTATCGTCTTTGCTCACAACAGTTATTATGTCTTGTGTAGTATAAGAAAAGTCCTTTCAGTATTAGTGTTTCCTCTTACATTAGTAGTAAGAGAAACTGCTGATGCCTTCTCATCTTCATGCATAGATGTGCATGTTGCTAGGTCACCATAATAATAATAATCCTTGCATTCGATACAGCGCTTTTCACATCTTCTAGATGTTTCAAAGCGCTTCACAGAATATACTGTAAAGTGAATTGACTGTATATTAGTGGGTGAGATGCGGCAGCCAATTGCGCACAGCAATGTCCCACAGACAGTTCGTGGATTGAAGTGACCAATTTATTATTGTCACCATAAATAATTGCTATATTTGCTAGGGGGATTGATGAAATTTACAATACATATTTGGATTCAGCACTACAATCAAACACTTCCAAATCACCTACACCCTAGATCAGCTGCAGAGAAATATGTGCACTTATCCAACATTTCACATTAACCTTAAAATAAGAAGAAAGCTTTTCATGACATTATTGTTGACACTATACCATAAAACAAGGAACCAGAAGTAAAAAGGCACTTTTTAGTGTGCTGCACATACCTGCATTCATAGATACATAGATACTTAAACTACTTTTAAATTGGAGCATGTTGTTAAACGTGTAATTATTTTGAATGGTTCTATAAAACAGCTCTATAAACGACAAGAATAAACAAGACATGATAGGATGTAATAAAAGCCTCCTTTCTCCGAAAATTTTCTTTGGAAGCATTGTTTACTAAGAATATAGAAATGAATCTAACAATGCAATAAGGATATGAAACACTCGAGCAATTGTCACAATGAAAGATTGCCTGCCACATGTGGTTTAATATCCATAACTCCTGCAAACACATATATACAATAAATATATAATAAAAGTGCAAGGGTTGAAATTCAGAGTGGCAATCTACCGAAGTTGCATAAAACAACATATATTCAGTTGGCAGGGGGCCAGTTCACTACCCAGAAAATTAAATGGGAGTACGGAAACATAATATAACTTGAAAATGGACTGTTTGATGTTTTAGTTTTCTCCATGATATATTTTAGTGTGGCTTTCTTTCCAAGCTTTCAAAGTGTTTAATATACTTTGATACATTGCAATGCATTCCTCGCCTAATTGAGCTAATCCAGCACTGCCCCTGAACACAATATCAGTTTGCAGTGGGAATTTTTTTTTTTTGCATGAATCAATGGCTTTATGACTGGCACAAAGTAATTTTAGACAGGGATGGATGGTAAAAGGTGAACATCGGCAAAATATTTGAGGAACGGATGATGAGAGTGCAAATGAGGGGATGTATAACAGATAAAGTAGGGATCCAACCTGACAAACTCTAAAGCATATGAGGGGCAAATGGAAAAGCTGAGAGTAGTATGAGAAACGGGTGTATGTGAAAGAGAGAGTCGGGCGAGTATGAATAATGAAAAAGATATGCAACAAGATGCTGGGGAGCTTGAGAGCCTGAGAAAAGTTTTTAAAAAATGGGCCAGAAAGTGAACATGGCAGATTTTAGGAAGTGAAATATAAAGAACACAAAGTAAAACACATAGGATATAGCTGGGAAAGTGAGTAATGGCCATGATAAGACTAGTAAACATTGGATGGACAAACTTGTTACAAAGTGAGGAGAGCAAGAGATACAGCTAGGCGAGAAGGTGAATTGTGGGGAAATATCAGTGGCAAAGAAGTGAGATAAAGTACAGTATGAAAATGTTATTTGTTTTCATTTGCCGCAGTTTTTTTTAAAAAGAAACCTGCAGTGCTGACTGATCAGCGTTAATGATTCATCTTTGTAGCACTTTGTGATGTATTTCTTTGCTTTCTTTGTCATTTCACAGTATTCCATCTTTCTCCTTAAATCCCCACATGTCACTACATGCTTAACAATAAAATAAATTCACACTACGTTGGTTGAATTTTTTTTATTGTTAATCATTTCTGTCTTCCATGTCTTTTTCGGTTATACATATTTTTTATGTCTGACCTCTAAATGGCATAGTAATTAGTATCATATGGAATGTATTCAGACATCAGTGTTGGACCTTTGCTTTTCGCCACCACAAGAGTGAACCCTCCCCAAACAGCATGATTGCCCATCTGTCTTGATACCAGATACAGCACTCTATTAAAGTGAGAGTACCTTAGAATAGATTATGAATGTTTTATCAAGTTGTAAGCGTTTTTAATCTCTGTGATCAACTATCCAGTAGGCAATACAGTATTTCCTTTCATTTACTATTAATGTTGTACTGGTGAACAATCAGATTTTTTTTTAATTTTGTTTAGAAATGAAAATGGTTCCACAGCACTATCTCCAGAATTCCAGGCAGTGCATACATTCAGTCATTGCAGGCTTTCCATTATTTCAGTCACATATTGAACCACACTCTTTACAATGGGTAAAGTCGCTAAAAATTTGAGTTAAACTGCGTTATATTTTAGCCATCAAAGTTGGAGAAGGGGGAAACCTATGTTTTATGTATCTAAGGTGAGAAGCCAGAACACTTAAGATCCAAGATGGAGTCTCTATATATTGCAAATGTGCACCGAATATAGGCACTCTTGCTGACATTTATTTTTCAAGAAGAAAAAAAACCTATTTCCATTACTAAGTGCATGCATTAAAGCCTCTGTGGAAGTCAGGTAAGTTGAACTCCACCTCAATCACAAAAAAATGTGCATGTCAGTTCCAAATGTTATCAGCCCTCTTCAGTCCCACAGGAACCACTTTCTGCAGTTAAAATGTTTAGCCATAAAAGGCAAACTCACTGTGTGTGTAATGACAAAATTGTATCTGATCAAATGCAATAACCTCCCTGGTGGGAGCCTATTACTTCTGCTTCATTTTCTAGGATCCATTAAATGCTATATTGAATCAAAGGTGTACATACAGCCCTGCTAATGATTTAAAGAGCCATGATGACCAAAAGTAAAGTTGGGTCTTTTAACTCATATTTATACAATATTTGAACTGGTGAATACACAGTAATACCAAATCATCTGGAATAATGATTAGAATGGAATGAATTGTAAGATTGGAATCCAGTTGAGAAGTTCAAATGATATATCAACCAATGAAACCAAAGCTTTAACCAGGAAATGGAAACCAGAACCAGAATAATTTATTTCATCTCAAATGCTTGAACAGTTTCTCACTATAAGTTTCATGGGGCCCTATCCCTGATTTTAGTGAATACACAATTTTGCATTCATATATAGTAGTATTCACATCCTGTTATCCTTCCAAATCTCAAACTTCAGTTTAAAAAATTATTGGGGTGATGCTCTGTGAACTGTCATGACGTTCAATTATATCTATTTAACCACCCACATTTTTAAGTGAGCTGAACATACCAACATATGAACCATTACCATAAGTGTGATGTCTCTTGTACAGTACTGGATTTAATATTTCGTCCAGTTGTATAGCAATATGGAACCTAATATATCTTACCTGTTCAAAATTATTGGGGGGGGGTGGTATATAGGCTTCAATGTTTTAACAAAATATGAACACTATGAACATGGACTCCAAAGAGATTGTAATCAAAACATACTTTAAATACAAACGAAAACTTGTAACATAATCTTCATGTATAATCCACTCCAGAAACATTGATATTTTTAACTTAACATCATACTTAGATTCAGCGCCTTCCCGATGTGAAAGGTGCTACACAAATGTAATTTTTGTTTGTTTGTAGATTCATTTGAATGGAAATGCACTTTTTTTTGGTCCTGTATATCCTTATGTTCCTAATTGCTATCCAGTGACCTCTGCTGGAAACTGTGTATAGTGTAGATCTACTGTGAGAGCAAGATTAGTCTGATGTGATATCCCCATGTACTTTAAATTCAAGTGTCAGCCTGTCTGTTGATGACACTCTTCCACCCTGAGTCAGAAAGCCATGGGCACAAGCCTGACATTCGGATTTTGACCATAAATTAGCTGACACTTCAAATTAGTATGTGGGGGTGCACTGCATTGCTGGAGATGTGGTCCTTCAGCTGACACATTAAACCAAATTTCCTTCTGCGTATTCAGGTGAATGTTAAAGATCCCATGGCACAATTTGATAAAAGAAGGGAATGCTGTGGCTGATAATTCCCCAGAACAAAATTGGTCATTTATTTCATGGCTGTTTGTGGGACATTCCTGTGCAAGGAATTGGCTGTTGTATTTGCCTACAAAAATGCAGGGATACTGCATTTTACAATAAATCCTATAAAAACACTTGACATGAAAGAGGCTATATCAAACACAAGGATTACATATTATTAAATTTCCAATTCAACTCATGACTGGGTTGCGGGCCTTGCTGGCCCAAATGGTTTGGTGCTTGTCAACAAAAAGTCATCAGTCATCACCAATTGATGGTCACTATGTGTGAAGCGCATTGTTCCCCAATGCTATAAAAATGCAAATCCTGTCCTATTAAATACTGAGAAGATAGGAATTTTTCTAGCAATTGGATTATTCACTGCGTCAAGATATTTATAGTTTGGCGGAACATACGCATGCACTTAAGGAAAGCTTTGTGAATCCCCTTTCTTCAGGTGTAAGCGTAGTTTCCCATGTGCTCTCACCACCAGGGATAGATAAGTTGGTGATATGAAAGAAAAACATGTTTGCAACACCTTTGCTCGTCAATAATTGTTCACCAAAGGAGTAGGTTGGTGCTAAAGGTGTGAAGAGAGGCGGCTTCATTCACTGCCTGAAGATATTTATGCAAAGAAAGTGATATGAGGTTGAAATCATAGTATAATTGTTGCACGGAATAACAAGTTTGGGCGCAGAGTGGCTTATCATCACCGCCGCGGCCAACAGGTCAAGGCGGTCTGTGCAAAGACTGCTTGAGGAGCATAATGAGACGTCGTGACAATTTGCTTGCACGAATCTGTGTGCAAATGTCACACTTTTTATCGGGGAACACGCACCGGTCGGTCGTCTGTAACTTCGAAACAAATCGTTCGAATGCTACAGCGCAATATCACGTTGGTGGTGCAACGTTGTCACACATTGCTTTTGCTGATCGCTTGTTTTCTTGGAATCGCTTTCGAAACCTCAACGACTTTCGGGCTCTTACCTACGGTTGCGATGCAATATATCTCTGATGTGCCCCACTTCAGAAAACATTAGCCACAGCAAAAAAGGCATCAAACGGGACCGTGGGCCCGACCTGCAGTGGGGACACTGGATTGAAATCCGGATTGGGAGGCATATCCGAACCCACATAGGAATCAAATCAACCCATACGCGCGGGGGGTGGGGTGGGGGGGGGAGGGGGGGGGGTGGGGGGTCGGGGGGGCAGGAACCCACTGGGATATTAACCTGGAAATCACAGCGGCAGAACAGATCGTTGGGCATTTCAGCCTAAAAAGCAGAGTTTTTAATCCATCACTTCTGGGCTACCGGGGAGTGGGGGGGTGGGGGGGGGGGGGGTGAAGGAGGGGGGGGGGATGCGTTAAAGGGGTAGCACCTGTGTATCCGCACACACTTGTCGGGCAGGGGAGGGGCAGGGCAGGGCAGTGGGGGGGAGGGCAGAGGGCAGGGCAGGGGGGGGGAGGGGCAGGGCAGGGCAGGGGGGGGGAGGGCAGAGGGCAGGGCAGTGGGGGGGGGAGGGCAGGGAGGGGAGGGCAGGGCAGGGAGGGCAGGGCAGTGGGGGGGGAGGGCAGGGCAGGGGGAGGGCAGGGGGGGAGGGCAGGGGAGGGAGGGCAGGGCAGGGGAGGGCAGGGGAGGGAGGGCAGGGCAGGGGAGGGCAGGGCAGGGGGGGGAGGGCAGGGGAGGGAGGGCAGGGCAGGGGGGAGGGCAGGGCAGGGGAGGGCAGGGCAGGGGAGGGCAGGGCATGGGGGGAGGGCAGGGCAGGGGAGGGCAGGGCAGGGGGGAGGGCAGGGCAGGGGAGGGCAGGGGAGGGGAGGGCAGGGCAGTGGGGGAGGGCAGGGCAGGGGAGGGCAGGGGAGGCTTCGTAGGAATTAAGTCCAACCACAAAAGCAAATGAGATCTTTTGCTCGTGTGAGTTCTCTGTTCCCTGAGAAGCGCCCAGTCCCGAACTCGGGCGGTCCGATGTTTCCAGTCACTGACACATCCCATTGCTCTGCTCGATTGGACCATCCAAAGAAACCACCTGCATCTGCTTCTCTCTCCTCTCTCTCTCTCTCTCTCTCTGTCATCGTGTCTGTCTGCTTGTCGGTACCCACAGTTTCTCTCCAAATTCTGCCTTTGCTATGGCTATTTGCGAGTTTATTTGAGATGGGGTTTTTTTGGGGGGGGGGGGTTGGGGTGGGGGGGGGGGGGAAATGGCAGGATGTGAGTGAAAGTGACAGTTCTTTGCACTTTGCATATTGCGCTATTTCCGGCGCACAGTGGCTGAGGTTGGTGCAGCCAACGTGCAGTGTGTGAGCTGCTTTGCCAGTTACAGTACATCAACGTGCCAGTGCTGGTGCTCTCTCTCTCTCTCTCTCTCTCTGTGTCTATCTGTCTGTCTGTCTGTCTGTCTGTCTCTCTCTCTCTCTGTCTGTCTCTCTCTCTCTCTCTGTCTGTCTCTCTCGCTGTCTGTCTCTCTCTCCCTTGGCTTCCCACATCTGGATTGCAGGATGACATCTACTCGCTCCTTTCTTTAAGTCATGCTTTGAAAGATTTTTTTCCCCCTCTCTCCCCCCCCCCCCCCCCCCCCCACTCCTTCTCCTCCTCCCACCACCACCACCCCACCCACCCTCCACCCCACCCCTCCCCATCACCTACCGTTTCCCTCCCGTGTCTCTGTGGCGTGCAATACAAATTAGTCACCCATGGCTTTGGTTATGGAACCTATCAGCAAGTGGACGCCCAAGCAAGTGGTGGACTGGATGAAAGGTATTCGGATTTGTGCTTCTTTCGGTCTCTCGTTTAAGCCAGAGTCTGTACTCAGTGCTTGTGTGGAAGCCTTTCCCATCAGTGTGTGTGTATATATATATATATATATGCTATGTTTCTATTAGGTTTGTAGAATCTCAGAGGGGAGAGAGAGAGAGAGAGAGAAAAAAAATGTATTCAACAACAGATAGTTCTAGTTTATACCCGCAGACATCTGTAAGGGAAATCCACCTACAGCAGCGGAGTGTAGTGTGTACACTGTTAGAACCTGTGCACACCCACACATCGAGATCGTGTGCACCAGGTTCGTTAAACAACTAAGAAAGCTTAACTCGGGCAGGAACGTGAGTGCATATGTATTGGGAATCTTCCTCACTCAGTTGTCTGGTAGGTTTCGCTGATGTGAAGCGATGGCAATGCAGTAAGGGATGCTGTATGCGGTATTGGTATGATTACTTTGGAAGGTGAGATTGCTTGGTGTGTTTTATTCAACCCCCACCCCCCCCACCCTCCCCCCCCAAAAAAAATTACTGTTCCTTCTAAGGGAAAAAAAGGCACGATTTTGCACAATTGCTTTTTAATTGTATTCATGTATACTTTGCAATGGTGTTGCTTTTCTCACCCCCCCACCCCCCCCCGGTAATTGCGGGACTGTGTTCACATCGTGCCAGTCAGGGCAGCTGTTGCTAAATACGAAAAATGCCACCTCTGGAGCAAACTGGTCGATTGCATTATTACAAGACATGACTCGTTGAACGCCAGTGTAAGAAAAGTGTGCATGCAAGGATTTCTCCATCCCAACAACCCCCCCCCCCACCCACCCCCCACACACATGCACACACACACTTTAGGGTCGCACACAGAGAGTTTAAATAAAACAAAAACTGACAGGACTAGAGACAGGTTTTGTGCTCGTTCCTTCCTCTCTTTGGCATTGACATGTATAGTGTAAGGAATTAGATTGGCGGTGTGTCAGGGATGGACAGTCGGTGGCTATGTGTGTCAGTTTACTTTCTGCTCAAGCAAATGTGCTAATTATTACCAGTGGGTGATGGCTGTGGGAAATTGCTGTAACTGCTACTGTTCCGAACTGACTTACTACTGAAACACGTCTCTGACAAGGAAGGAATCGCGATCTCTTCCAAGAGGAAAGCAAACATGGCCGAGAACATTCCCTCGTGTCAGGGATGGTACAGTGTTATGATTTAACGTGATGCTGGGGTGGGGGTGGGGGGGGGAGGTGGGGGGGGGGGGTTTGCAGCTGCTTCGAAAGTGAGCAGCATCCAACACAAAATACAGGCAAATCAATGGGAGTGCTGCACGACCTCCGTCGGTGACACAATCAATAACCTCCGCATCAATAAATAATCCACCAAACAAAAGGCTGACACGGAGTTCAGATGAAATCTGTGAACGTGGATCGTAACGTGCAATTTCCTGGCACGACCTGTCGCTTCTAATGGTCATTTATTGATTGATTGATTGATTGATTGATTTATTCGTGTGTTTATTTATTTATCTATTTGTTTATTTATTTGTTTGTGTGTTCGTGTGTTTATTTATGTGTTTGTTTGTTTGTTTGTTTGTTTGTTTTAATCATCAATCGGGACCATTTCGCGTGAACTTTCATCAACCACACGCGCAAACCAACGGCTCCCCCTCCCCAACTCCTCCGGGTGAATCCACATCACCGGGGTCCCACCCGAGGAAAGAAAGGCAAAATGGGTATTTCCTCGCGTCGATGAGTCATTTGATCAATAGTGTGCATCAATAAACCACTTCGCCCGTGACTGATCCATCCTTTGATTTGGTAGAGAGAGAGAGAGAGAGAGAGCTGCTGTCGAGGCGTCGTACACAAATGAGCAGCGAATCCATAGGTTCCACCCGACCGACGTTCCCCCATTCATGTTTTGCCTGATATTTTAACAGAAGGAGATTGATGATTCATTCAGCATCACCCACTCGGTTGGAGACCGAAATGGGAATTTACCTTTGGCTCAGCAGTGAAACACATCACGAGGAGCTTATTGATGTCCCCCCAAAAAAACACCCTCTCTTGAGACTCGATTTTATGTGAATATTACGCCCTACCAAATGACATCAAACTCTTTTAAGGGATAGCCTCACATAGTCACACGTCCAGCGCCTGACCACTTGGCTCATTCCCAATACCTGTGGATCGATCAATTTGATAATCAAATTTTAAAAAAATAACACACACACACATACACACACACACACACACACACACAGAAAACATTCACCTCTGCATTGGGGGCTTTAATTGCCAACAGATGAGACCCGTTCAGTTTAATTTAAACATGTTATCCTTCCCATTCGGTTGGTTGCTTGCTTTTGCCCTGGCAAGTTCTGGATCTAACTTCTTCAGGAGGATATACAATATATACAGTCAGTCAGAGTGGTGCCATTTATTGACAATGATCTCGTCGTAAAATATTAGCTGAAAACAAATAACACACGATGGGTTCCACCCTCGGACACCTAATAATCCGCAGTAACCACATCTCACGAAACAATTGTAAAAAAGCGTATAATCAATGAAAGAAGCAAAAAAACAGCACCGACTGCCATATTTTGCCAAAGCAAAACCAACCTCCCTCACATATTGTGTGTGCATTTTCGAGTGAGTTGGATTGTGGATGAGCTAATGAACCTATTCTGTGGTGTAAAACGCTGTCACAGTGGGTGACGCAATGATCTTCACGTTGCTGCTTGGTGTTTCCCTTTCTTGTTTGCATTTTATTCGTATTTTCTCTCTCGACACTTCTACCTGCAGACAGACGTACATAGATAAATCCCCCCACACATGCACACAGGGCTACACCACAGAGTACTAATAATTTGGCACTCCTGCAATAACAACAGGGGTGGAGAAGGGGGTGGGGGGTGTAGCTCGTGAGAAATGGGAATGTAACTCGATTGGTAATCTGATTAGCTATGCTGCATTGATCTTGCAGAGAATAATTGTACGTTTAGCCTGTGCATTTGCTGGCATGTAATTCTCGCAGGCTGGGGCAGGGGTAAGTCAGGCTGGAGCACAGCTCTCCGAGGCTGTGTCTGCAGTTGTGTTAGCATTCAGCTCACACTCGAGATTTGCCATCATCCTCAACAGCCCCATCACAAAGCACCAAGGACCGCTACAGCATGCAATCTCTCTCTCTCTCTCTCTCACTCTCTATCTCTCTCCCTCTCTCTCTCTCACTGCCTTTTTGTTCAGACAACCCACTGCCACTGACAGGGTAGGATCAAATGATTAACGTTAAACCTGTCAGTTACCTGATTTTACCCCTCCAGCCCTCTGGGCTTTAAAGTCGCAGCGTCCGAGGATCGCCCCGTTATGTTTATTAACCGACCAACGCTGAACAACTAATGACAACACAGTCAGTAAAACATTCCGGCTCTTCCCAGCAGCGATGAGTCACCATAGATTGCCCCCTGAGAGTAATCCTCTGTAGCTCCCAGATGAGTAAATAGATTTTTAGATGTGTTGTGGAGGATGGGGTAATCCATAGCGCCCACGTATGTCTGTGAATATATATGTGTGTGTGTAAAAAGTTGCATTTGAGACTATGGAAATCACTTGGCTGCTTCATCTATTTGCTGCTGGTTTGAGTCACATCGAAAATACAAGTGTCTCTTTTATGTCCCAGCTCCTCTTTACGGTCAGACGCCATTTCCACGCAATACTGACTACAAAGGATATTTAGTGGATGATGCACAGCTATTAAACCCTTTCGTGAGAAACCCCATGTGTCTCTACACGCGGCGAATCGTTTTATTCACATCAATTTCACATTTCTATAAGGGGGGCTTCGTTCTTGCAGTGCAACATTCCGCACATAAATGGTACGAGTTTCAATTCATATTTCCATTCCTTTACCGTTTTATTATTGCCCGCAGTAAAGTAAGACATGCACTGTACAGCAAAATGACACCTAATTGCTTTGGCTTTACAGTTATTCCTGTTTGGGAAACATACTTCTGATTGTAAATGTGATTCACAATGTGGGTTGTTAAGCAATGCGTTCCAGGTAATATTTATTTAATTAGAAATAGGAAGGAAACCTTTGCAGATAAGACATGTATTATTGCAGCTCACTCTACAAATACAATCCTGATAGAAGCGTTCTGTTTTATTTTATATTATATATTTGCTCATGGGTGAATCCATGCTCAACATTTCAGAAATATGGAATAACAGCAAATTATGCTTGAAAATTCATCAAATCCACAAGGATAGGATTGTGTCTCTTTCAAAAGCAATTCAGGTTTCTTGAAGCATGCTCTGCATCATGTACATTCCTTTATGGCATGCACTGTTGTCGATTAAATCTCCACACTTAGAGAATAGTTATGTGTTTTTTTGTGAAATTGTATGAGGGAGGAAAACATCTGAAAATCGAAGAAATAAATGGCACAGGAATCATGTTTTAAGAAGCAAAGTAATAACATTGTGATAGAAAGAAAGGGATTCTGCGGAATCAACGATTCTTTCTGATCTCCTTTTGTCCATGATTTCTACACTCAATCTATTTTATTTCCCCACCAATCTTTAGCCGACAATTCTTTCCACTCCCCTTCTACTCTTCAAAAGATTTGACATCCTCTCCCCCCCGCCCATTTAGTGGGCTACAGTGCCACAGGTTCTGGTCACTTGCTGAAGTGGCCATAATTCATGTGTGAGCTTTAGTAGTGAGTATTGCCAAGGTACTCAACTGTGTAGCAGATCCTATCCTAATCCAAGATCCACAAGCAAGCAATTTCCATTAGGGGTCACTGAATAGCAAAGGGAAACCGATTTTGCCTCCCCTAATCCGGGGGGTGGGCATTCAAGCCAGTTGTAGCACTCTAACTTTGGCCCCTTCTGAAAATCAGCTAGAACAGCACAGACTGGATGCGAAATTCTGTCCATATTCCCTAATGCTTCACCAGGGATAATGTAGTGGTGCCTTTACCATTAGGCCATCAGAGGAGCCTTG